CATTTAATGGGAGGTAGAAGCCATTTTTCGGTACTCGTCTCTTACCGGGGGGGGATAATTTCGCTAAAACTATGAAAATATGGATTTTTCGAGTAAAAACGGCCAATTTTCCATGCAATTTCCGAAGCTTTTTAGCGAATTTATTCCGGACCTGCCGGTATCCGGAATATTTTTCAAGATATTTCTATGGTGTCAGCCGAACGACTCTCTATCTCTCTCTCTCTCTCTCTCTCTCTCTCTCTCTCTCTCTCTCTCTCTCTCTCTCTCTTTCTCTCTCTTTCTCTCTCTCTCTCTTTCTCTCTCTCTTTCTCTCTCTCTTTCTCTCTCTCTCTCTCTCTCTCTCTCTCTCTCTCTCTCTCTCTCTCTTTCTCTCTCTCTCTCTCTCTCTCTTTCTCTCTCTCTCTCTCTCTCTCTCTCTCTCTCTCTCTCTCTCTCGCTTTCTCTCTCTCTCTCGCTCTCTTTCTCTCTCTCTCGCTCTCTTTCTCTCCCTATCTCTCTCTCTCTCTCTCTCTCTCTCTGAATTTCAGTTCCCCAAAATTTGGTACTGGACTGTTAGCGGGGGGGTATAAATTTACCCGTGATTTCTTAAGGCCGAACAACGAAATCTAAACCATTTTTAGGTCATTTTAACAAGGGCACTTTCATTTGTCGTAAGCTCATAAAAATTCTAAATTCCAAATTTTATGATTTTTTTGGTCAAAAATGATGAAAAAACATCAACACCCAAAATTAACTTTTCTAATTGTTTCTGATTTTTTCGATTTTGGATTTTTCTTAACTGTATAAATTCCATAACCGTATTTTTTGCAGGGCACGAGCGAACGAATTGAGGAGGAGGAAGAGAGCCGTGTGAGCTTGTGCTTTGAGGCTGAGAGTTCAGACTCAATTCTCCGCTATATTCCCTCCCCGCCCCTATAATATTATGCCCTCATCTCGATGCCGCACAGATAGTTTTTAGAAGAAAAAGAAGAACGAGAGAAAAGACGATTATACCATCCCCCAAGCCATGTCAGGTAGGGGAGAAACTGAGCTTTTCCATTACCGGGGGGGGGGGGGATTTTGCCAAAAGCCCAGAGTCAGGTAAGAAAAAAAGGGGGTTTTCTGACCCACCCACCTTTTTTGGTACTGCTCTGTTAGCGGGGGGGGGGGCTTCAGCATCTACGAATTCGAAATTTTGCTTGGAAAATCGGCCAATTTTGCTTAAAACGGATTTTTTAATTCCTATACACGCAGAGACTAGAAAAGTCGTTAAGTCGAAAAATCGTTAAGATTTTGCAATTAGCTTTTATGGTTGCCAGTTCACCGAATCAAAAGGCTCAATCAGCGAAAAAAAAATAATTAAATAGCGTAATACCCGTTAATTCAGCTACCCCGCTAGCCAGACTGACTAAAAAATGAACTCAATCCTCGAAAATGCCATTAAAAAGTATCAAGATTTTGAAATTACCTTTTATACCAGGCAGTTTACCTAATGAAAAGAATCAATCCTCCAAAAAAACCTCTTAAAACGCCACATACCACCAAATTCACGCCTTTTCCATCCAAATCGACTAAAAAAACCTAAATCTCAAAAATCCGACCAAAAATCACTAATATTTTGAAATTGCCATTTACTGTTGGCCAGTTTACCTAAACAAAAGATCCAATCCTCAAAAAATTGTTTAAAACGCCTAATACCCAAAATCCACCCCTTGCCATCCAAATTAACGGAATTCCGGAGCGCACATTTCGCGAGGGTGGGCCTTTTTCGAGGGGGTCGAAGCCGAAAGGGGGCACGACGTCTCCGTGGGAATCAGCCTCCACGGCCACTGTCATAAAAAGGGGGAGGAGAAGGGCGCGAAAAAGGTCTGCCTTCTAATATCATACTAAACCATCTTTCTCTACAGTCAAAACCATCATTTCTAATTCTAATTTTACGCGTTAAAAAGGTTAGTGATTCACAGGGCGTAATCGATTACACCATGGAAAATTGAGCGTGTAAACGCGCCGCCGTGCGCAACGCGCCTGGTTTCACGTTTTAAAAACCGTAATCGATCACGGAATAGAATAATGCGCCCGTTTGCCCTTATTGTTTTGAGCGCGTAATCAATTATGCCATGAAAATCCTCATGTGACACGCAACGCTCTCCCTTTCCCGTATTTACAGGGCGTAATCGATCACATCAGGTAAATCCGAGCGAGTACCCTCGCCACGACATGTAACGCGCCCGTCTCTCCATATTTATAGCGCGTAATCGATGACGCAGTGGAATTCCCAGCGAGAACCCGCGTCGCGACACGCTGCGCGCCTGTTTTCCCATATTTCCAGGGCGCAATCGATTACGCAACCGAATAAGGCGCCTGTTTGATAATATTGACGAGGCGTAATCGGTTACGCAATGGAATTCCGAACGAGTACACGCGTAGCTCTGACACTTGGCGCACCAGTATTCCCATATTTACAGAGCGTAATCGCTTACGCAACGGAATGATTCGGCGTAATCGGTTCATGCCAGTCCGCCGATTTTGATTTTAAAAACGAAAACGAACCGGAGTGTCTTTAAAAATCTCTAAGTGTTCATTCTGGCATGTGGTGGTTGCGAAATCCCGGATGAATCGAAATCGCGGCTATTTTCGGTGGATCAAATCCTTGACCATCACCTTTTTGCACATGAAATCAGTCAGCATTTGGTTTTGGGGGAGGCTCAGGCTCACTCCGGAGGAGCTTTGTCTCTACGTTTGCCCCACACACAGCTGTTCCGTGGCCTCTATTGGGGAAGAGAGAGAGAGAGAGAGAGAGAGAGAGAGAGAGAGAGAGAGAAGGAAGGAACACATCCCCTATTACACCTCCCTTTCTACCCCTCTACTATCCTTTAGCATAACGAGCACCGCGGCCCGAAACAGGGGCCATTCTCAAATTACCAACACGAAAAAGTAAATCGGGACCCAGCTAAAGGAATAGTGACAGTTTTTTGGGAATTTCCGAGCGTAATCTAGCGTAATCGACTTTTTTTACGCCAAAAATCGAGCCATTCCAGAGAGGGGCAGCCATTTTAGACCGCAAACTACGAAAATCGCTAGTTGGAGTCAAGTATCAGCCAGCTGAGTCCATAAACTATAAAAATCCCGATAATTCTGATTGTTTTCGCACAAAAAACGTAAATTGCCATCCAATTAAAGGGATGGTGACAGTCTTTTTGGGAATTACCTAGCGTAATCGTGTATTTTTACCAAAAAATCAGATCCATCGATCTGATTTTTGGACCGGCCGTTTAGTCCACAAACTATAAAAATAGCAATTGACGCTTCGCAATTATTCCGCTGCGGTTAAAAAGGGAGTCACCTCATAAAATGGGTGCCAGCTGAGAATATAAACTTTAAAAATCCTTCTATTCTTTTTTGCATATGATTTTTGCGCGAAAAATCGCGGCATTTCGCAGAATGGCTCTCAGTTTGACCTACAAACTACAAAAATCTTCCGTAAACTATAAACTATAAAAATCTGCTCATTTTCAGTGCTGCAGAGCATGATGACCTCATCGGCGGAGGATGATGAGGGGCCGGGTGGGGGAGGAGGAGGAGGAGGAGGTGGAGGGGGACATAACCCTCCTGGAACCTCCAATGATCCCGACAATCCACAAGGAGACAATGAAAGGACCGATCTGTGGCAGGCTACGTTACAGGTTGGCTATTTTTACACTAACTGGCTATCAGGGTTTAAGCGGATTTTATTCGTTATTTGCCAAAATCTCTAAAAATCGAAATTTACATTTTTTTGTCACTACTACCTATCGTAATCGATTATTTCTCATCCAAAAATATAGAATGCATAAGTTGGAATTTGGCCAAAGGTCTTGCATTCAGGCATAGATTACGAGGAGATTAAAAAACGGAAGTGTTGGATTTTTTTGCCTGAATTACCTATCGTAATCGATTTGCTGCCTGTCAGAATAAAGGATTTATAGGCTGGAATTATTCCAAACTGAGTTTTCTCAAAATTACATATCGTAATCGGTTAACTGCCTGCCAAAAAAGCCGTGAGGAAGTCCAAATCCCAGTTGATAGCCCGTACAGGTATTAAAAATCTTGAAAATACCTCAGTTGGCAAACAATAAGCTTAAAAACGGTGAAATAACTTAGAAACCGACTCACTCCGAGATTTTGAGCTCGTAAGGTATCTAAACACGACTAAATGCCTAAACTGACGGTCAATAGATCCAAAAAAGCTATATTAAACCTTCTAAGATATTTAATAACGCCTCACCTGCCAGCCAGTACACCTACAAATGCAAAAATTACAATCCAAAAATGGTGGAAAATCCGGAAACCCGGACAGGAAGGTGGTTTTGCCCCTGGATGGCGGATGAGGTGTGTGTAACCCTGTCTGTCTTGAGCACCACCAAAAAGCCAAGGAGACGACGTTTTTTGGAGCCGAGCGGAATGAAGGGAAAGGAGGGGGTCCTAAAGGGAAATGAGACACGGAAAGGGGCCAAGAAAAGGAGGGAAAGGAGGGACAGCCTCCCGTCCTCCTCCGCCTCCTCCTGGCAGACAGCTCCGGTGACAACAGTCCAGCAGAGGAGCACGAGAAGGAAGAAGAAGAAGCTCTATTGATCCGCTTAGACTACTCTCTCTGGCCCCCCCAGGCTACCTACTACCCAACGGCCCGCCATTTGAAGCCTATTTCCGGGTATTTTCACCTAAAATCCCGCTTTTCTGCATCCGATTACGCCATTATATTCGTGTATCTGGGCCCTTGGAGGTTTTTTGCCTCTATTGTTTGCCGTTCTAAGACCACAAACTACAAACTGACGCCCAACGCGCCGGATAGCCATATTTTTTGGCTAAAAGCTAGCTCTTCTGCCCCCGATTACGCCATTATATTCGTGTAGCTGGGCCCTTGGGCCTCTAAATCACTCGAAAACCTCATATTTGGCCTACTGTCTGCCGTCCTAAGGCTGCAAACTACAAACTGACGCCCAACGCGCCATTGGGCCGGGCGGTAGACGATCAACGGCCTCGAGATGGGCGACCCGGCCGCCGAGACCGTGCCGCTATTGTCGCCGGATGGCGAACCGGGGCAGGACCTTGAGGTGGTACACTTGTTTGTAAAATTCGGTTTTCTGGCTGTCAGCTTAGTAATTCTGATCGTCAGAATAAAAATTGGTACTTTTCCAAAGAATTTCATGGCCTAATCGGTTCTTTAGTTGATCTGGGAGATCCGAATTTGTCCCTCATTAGAATCCAATTTGCCGATTAAATATAGACACACCGTTTTCTAAGCTGTACCATTTATAAACGAGGAAAGTTTACAAATTTTCATTTGAAAATTGCAGAAATATCGATTTTCCGTTAAAAATGCCGATTTTTGAGCAACATTCGAATTTTTAGGCATTTTTCAAAGTTTTCTAAATAGTTTTTACGACTTTAAAGATAGCTAAATTCTACTAGAAAACACCATGAAACGGCTTGTATTTAAGTTACTAGGTTATGCGTGGAATTTCAGGAAAAAAATGGGATCACTCTCTTAATAAATCGAAAAACTCGAATTCGCCCGCCCACGCTACACTTATATGCATTAATGCTAAAATTAAGGCTCCGTGCCTCCTTATTAGTATAATTGCGCTTTCTGGAAGTCAGTTTAGTAAATTCCGTCGTCAAAATATCATTTGCAACGTTTATACAAGTTTATAGCCGATTAACCTCCCCCAAACCTCCCCCCCCCTCGCGCTTATATAAATTTAATGGCGGTTTTCTCGTGGGCCCCCCAGTTTGTGGAGTTTCTTGCGTGGGCTTCTTCTTCTCCTACTTTGGAGGAGTCGAGGGCGAAAAGAATCGAAAAGAGAATCGAAAAGAGAAGCGGAAAGGAGAGGGGTTGGTCCTCCCTAGCCGAGGGGGCGCAAAATTAGATTCCCCGCGCCTACTCGACCCGCAAAAATGCGCCCCGTTTTTTTGTGTGTTGCATGGGGAAGGCGTAGAAAATAGATATAGACGGATTATATAGGTAGATCCATTCAGGGAATAGGTAAAAAAGGTTTTTATAAAAATAATCCATGAAAAGAGAAGGCGGAGGATTAAAAAAAACAAAATGTTGCGTTTATCGCCCGAAATTGGACTTAAAAAAGAGAAAATAGACGTGAGAATGCCAAGCTGACCTACAAACTATAATAATTATTGGTGAGGGTTAACTATAGTTATAACTTTGTTTTTGATCTGGCTGAATTTGAGCTTTTTGGAGCTTTTTGGAGCTGCCATCGGGTCTTTGGTATTGGGGGTAGGGATTTTTACTACGACCGCGGAAATAGCTATTAGCGTAATCTCTTTAAGAGTGTTTACAGCAAAATTTAGATATATTTCAAGCGGAAAAACTTTTAGAAAACTTTGAAAAAATCCTAAAAATTTGAATTTTGGTCGCAAAATCTGAATTTTGGAAAAAAAAAATCGACTTCCTTTGTGTATTTTAGTAGAAATGGTACATTTTTAGGTTTGAAAAAGTAGTGAAAACATCTTAGAAACAATTCCTCTATTTATACTAGAGAAATTGCGTACTAATCCAGTTTTTGGAAAAACCCGCGCAACCGAATGGAAAAGCAACCCTAAAAGTCGCAAAATCAGGATATTTCCATGATCCCTCCCCATCACTCGTCAAACTGGCACCCCGCCAATAATTGGCAAACCCTAAAACTAGAAATTCTCGGAAGCCCGAGGATTCGGTCGGGATTTAGATGCCGGGGGGGGGGGGGAGGCAGTGTGAAGCCATAGTTTCGGCCCCCCTCCCTCCTTGAGCCTCGTTACCGGTGTGTCTCTCTGTCTGACTGCCCTTCCTGTCGGGCAAGGGTTGTCTTCAGCCCCGGCGGGCTTCTCAATCAGTCCATCTCTCCCCTCCCCCATCCCCCTCAAACTGCCGCTTCAAAATTCTTGGGCTCAAAATCCTTCGCCTCGGCCTCGAATGGGTGTCCGTGACGGTCAAGAAGTTGCCCTTCGCCTCGGACAGGCCCAAGATGGCGTGCTATCCCTATTACATCGCAATCCGTCCGTACGAGATCTTCTCCATGGCAAATTGTATCATGAAACGCGGAATTTCTTCCAGAATGGACAGTCACCGCTGGTCTGTGTCGCGCGGGAGCCATTTTTCCGGATTTTTGGAGTTATAAACGGGTTTATTGGCTGGCAGATAGCATTAAAATAGATGCTTAATAAAACTCAATTATATTTAATTTGGCAAGGATACGTAGAAAGCTCAGAAAAACCTACAAAATCGGCCATTTCTCGCCGAAAGCTCGATACTTTTACTTTTTAATTTTATAAAACGCTACCTCGGCTGGCAGATAGCATAAAATAGCTTCCTAATAAAATATAACCAAATGCAAAGTGAAAAAAAGGCCTAGAAACCTTATAAAAATAGCAAAATTCGAAATTCCGTTCGAAAAGCGGCTGTTTTTCATTGATATAGCGTTGTTTTTACTTTCAAACACAGCTTAGCAGGCAGATAGCATACCAATAGGTGCAGGGACGTAGCGTAATACAGGCCCCGGGGGCCCGGGGCCCCCCCCCCGAAATCGGCCGGGGCCCGAAAATTTCATAAGGGGGGACCCTTATGATTTTTATTTTCTCAAAAATTTTGCTGCCTGCGGCGCTATTTTTTCACGTTTTTACTGCTATTTGTAGTGCTATATAGCCTTTTTTTTCCAAAAGTTTTCGCCTGCGGCGCTGTTTTCTCGTTAATTTTTGAGTTTTTCGAAAAAAATTTCGGGGGCCCCCCCCGAAATTTTTTTTCTGGCTACGCCCCTGAATAGGTGTATAAGAAAATATAACCAAATCTAAAGTGGAGAAAATACCTTGAAAGCTTAGAAAAAGTAGCAAAAATTTCAAATTTCGTCGATATATCGATATTTTGAGTTTTTAACCTTGTAAATAGCTTGTTTTTTAACTGGCAAATGGCAAGAATAACGTTAAAATATCGTATTCATCCCTATTTTTGCTAATCGTTACCCTTTCAGGCGGCGGTGGCAGCGTCCTCGGGCGGCGATGCCGGCAAAAAGCGGCCACAACAGAGAAAACCGCTTCGACAGCAAAACGTCGTGGAAAGGTTGGTGTTTTCTTGCAGTTAATAAGTTTATGTTATTTTCTGGCTATCAATTAAGGTATTTAAAAGAAAAAGGCTGTCAGTTTCTTCGAATAGCTTTTTTTTCAGACCAGATCGAGCGCTCCTGTGCTTGTCATTGCAGAATCGACTGCGGAAAGCATGTATAACGATGGTCGAGTGGAAGTATGTCTTGCTTTTCGAAAATGGGATTTCTGGCATCCAATTCGCTAAAAATGTCTCGTTCCAGACCGTTCGAATGGTTGATTCTGTTGATGATTTGCGCGAATTGTATCGCGTTGGCCATCGGACAGCCATATCCGGCACAGGATTCTGATGCGAAGAATGCTCAGCTCGAACGAGTCGAAAACGTCTTTATCGTCGTGTTTACGATTGAATGCATCCTGAAGGTATCGTTTTCCTTCATTCCATTGCGTAATCGATTATGCCCGTTAAATACGAGCAAGCGGTTGCGTTGCGTATCGCGGCGCGTGTAAATGACTGAATTTGAGTAGCGTCGATTACGCTCTGTAAATATGGGTGAATGGACCCGTTGCGTGTCGCGGCGCGTGTACTGGCTCTGATTTTCACACCGTGACCTATTATGCCCGTTAAATAGGAGCAAGCGGTTGCGTTGCGTATCGCGGCGCGTGCAAATGGGTGAATTTGAGTAGCGTAATCGATTACGCTCTGTAAATATGGGTAAAACTAGCGCGTTGCGCGCCGCGTGGCGTGTACTAGCTCGGATTTTCACACCGTAATCGATTACGCCCTCCAAATCCGAGCAAGCTAGCATGTCGCGGCGCGATCAATCACGCTCTGTAAACATGAATTTCTAGCGATTTTTTGGGTTGTATTTTGTAGTCCGGGAGACGGGATCCACTTTTACACGCAGGAATTGTAGTTTGTAGGCCAGTTTGACGAAAATTTTCCCTTTTAAAAGACTTTCGTGATTTCAGGTGATCGCTTACGGGTTTTTGTTTCACCCCGGTGCATATTTACGGAATGCCTGGAATATTCTCGACTTTATCATCGTCGTTATCGGGTAGGCAACCCCTTATTTTGTCTAAAATTCGTTGTATAATTTAGTATCGTGTCGACACTGCTCTCTCGAATGAACATCCAAGGTTTTGATGTGAAGGCGTTGAGAGCATTCCGTGTGCTGCGACCTCTGCGACTCGTTTCCGGCGTTCCCAGTCAGTTTTCACATCAGAAAATTCAAAATCGCAGTTTTTAGCGTTTAAAAATTGCAATAATAGTTTTAATATATTCTTGTATGCCTTTTAAAATGAAACTTTTTTGGAAAATACGAAAAAAACCCCGAGTATTCAGCCGGCTAGCCGAAATATCAATTTATTATTATTTATCAATATTTTCAGGTTTACAAGTCGTGTTGAACGCTATTCTTCGAGCGATGATTCCGTTGTTACATATTGCGCTTCTCGTACTGTTCGTCATCCTGATCTATGCCATCATTGGGTTGGAGCTGTTCTGCGGAAAGTTGCACTCTACCTGGTGAGTTATAACGGCTCGAATTATCTACAAAATTTTTAAATTAACACCGGAAATACGGTCACCTAATGACCGTTTTCCGCTTTAAAAGTCGGGTTTGCTTCAGCGGTTCTTCTCTGTTAACGGGAGGGGAAGCACATTTTGTGAATCCCGCTTATACCACCAAGCAATTAAAAGATTCTAACATATTTTTATAGTTTTTAGTGGTTTTTCATAGCTAAAAAAAATTCTTTACAAAATCCCCCCCGTTAACAGGAAAGAGCGGATGCTGCGTTGATTTCTTAATAGAAGAAATATAGACCAAAAAAATGATGTAAAATTAACACGATAAATGCCATATTTCAGTATGGACGTAGCGACGGGCCAACTAGCAATGAAAGAGCCGACAACATGCGGTGTCTCATCAACAGCCTTCAAATGTGAACCAACTGACAGTTTGCAGACCATGGGTGTCAGATGGTAAGGAAATAACTCAGTTTTATACCGTAATCGATTGCCTCGCCGGGAATTCCATCGCGTAATCGATTTCAACATACGCTTTTTGATGTTGTAATCGATTTCGGTATTCCATCGCGTAATCGATCGGAATATGAGCTTTTTGAGAGACTAGCTCGATTGGTTATGGTATTTTCATCACGTAATCGGTTGCGGCACTTCATGGCGTAATCGATTGCCTGCTGGAATTCCCTGGCGTAATCGAATGCAATATAACCTTTTAACGACCTAATAGATTGCAAAATTGAGACATTTTTCAGGGCGTGCACGAACGAGACAACGTGGCCTGGCCCCAACAATGGCATCACAAATTTCGACAATTTCGGGCTGGCCATGTTGACTGTCTTTCAGTGTGTATCGCTTGAGGGATGGACTGATGTCATGTACTGGGTATGGTCGATCTTTTGTCTCTGTCTATTTGAAGCCGAATTCATAACCGAAGGGGGAGTAGCTAGAGCTTACAATCAGGTCTCAATGATTTTAGGTGAATTCGAACATGTGGGTTCAAAATGACTAAAACAGAACCCAAAAATGACATTTAGGAGCAGAAAAAAAATAGATTTTTGTAATTTGGTAGTTATTTGCACGATTTTGGCGATAGTGGGCCAGGTGGTGCGCGTTTTGGCGAGAGCGAGGGCTGAAAATTGTTGGATATGGTGGGTGACTCTGAGACAGATTACTGTGCTAATCGGCTAGTTTTCACATATTTTTCCATGGGGATTGCTTGATCGAAAAAGATTGCCATGCCGTCCCCCACCCGCGCGCCACCTGGCTCACTATCCCCAAACTCGTGCTAAAAGCCTTTTTGATGCCCGAATTAAAAAAAATCGATTTTTCACCTGCTAGATATCATTTTCAAGTCCTGATTTCGATGATTTTGAACTCAGCAAGGTCGAATTGACCTCAAACCGTGGAGATCTGATGGAGATCTGACTCGTGAGCTCTACCTCCTTTTCCCTTCGAGTTTCTCCGGAATTAATGCTGCTCAAGCAAATTATTATACGTGATAATTTTTAATGTTTTCTGCAATTCAGGTGAACGACGCGGTTGGCCGTGAATGGCCATGGATCTATTTCGTGTCGCTCGTCATCCTCGGCTCATTCTTCGTGCTCAATCTTGTGTTGGGTGTGCTCTCCGGAGAATTCTCTAAGGTAAAAATTGCTTCTTTGGCTGTCAGCTAACCGTTTTCAGGAGCGAGAAAAGGCTCGTGCTCGCGGTCTGTTCCAAAAATTTCGCGAAAAGCAGCAGTTGGAGGAGGATCTGAAGGGATATCTGGATTGGATCACACAGGCTGAGGATATCGATCCAGTCAATGAGCAAGAGGAGGAGGAGCAACAGCACAATCGTGAGAAATCAAAAAATGGCCACAAAAGTAGACAATTTAGCGGAAGAAGCAGATGAGGAGGGCGAGGAACGACCGGAAGAAGTACGGCCCAGCTGGATACGCACCAAGCTAAAACGGTCCGTTTTTGGAGGATTTTAAGCATTTTAAAAATTAAAATTAAACTTTTAAGGTATAGAAAGGCCAGAAATCTGCTATCTGACAAGTAATCTATCAATTTCACATATTTTTGGGTTCGAAAACTCGAATTTGAAAAATCGCGGAACTTTTCCACTATCGGAGGGGGATTTTTCCTATAAATACAGAGATGCCTAGTAATTTAAAGCAATTGTTTTTATGGCGTTTTTAATAAAAACTAACAGTATTTGAGGCGGGAAACTACTTAGAAAACTTTTACAAATTTTTGTAAATTCGAATTTTTTGTCGAAAATCGGTATTTTTCGAAAATTCGAGATTTTTATATTTTTACTCAAAAAGGTGGAAGGCTTAGCGTTTAGGAATAATAAAGAAACAGTTTAAAAACAATTCCGTATTTACATTACAAAAATTGGAGTGTAGAGAAAAATTTACCATCCCCCCCGATAATGCAAAGGTTTGGAAATGAAGGTAATTTAGCGTAATTAAGGTATAGAAATGTACTAATTTTTCTATCTGGCAAGCAATTTATCAATTTTTCCCTTTTTCAGATTCGAAAAATGGAATCGCCGGTCTCGGAGGGCATGCCGACGCCTCGTCAAATCTCAGACATTCTATTGGCTGGTCATTATTCTCGTCTTTTTCAACACTCTCGTCCTCACTTCCGAACACTACAAACAACAGCCCTGGCTCGATGACTTCCAGAGTACGTTTTTTCCGGGTTTTCCGTAAAAATTTGGGGCTGGTCTGTTAGCGGGGGGGGGGGGGCGGTATTTTTAACAGGCTAACCTGATTTTTGGCCTGTTTATAACCAAAATATGAATTTTTAGCGTTTTCAGTAGTATTTCAGTGCTAGAAAGGCGCCCCCCCCCCCCGCTAACACCCCAGTACCAAAATTTCCAAATTTTCCGTATTTTCGAATTTTCTGACTGTGAAAAATTCAAGAATATGCTAAGCCTTTAAATTACAGGCTAATTGAATTTAATATAAGTTAATTTTATCGATTTTGAGAAAAAAAATCGATTTTGAGGCCAAAAAATTCCGATTGGCAAAGTTCCAAATTCTAAGAATTTTTGCAAGTTTACTTAATAGTTTTTGCGCTTGAAATATGTTGTAATTTTAGTAAAAAGCTATCAAAATACGTATTATTGATTTACTATGCTTTTCTGAGACCTCCCCCCGATACTGCAAAAGCTCCAAAATTTTTCGAAAATTTCGAAAAATATCAAAAAATTTTTATTGCAATTGTAAAAAAATTAAGATAATTTTCAGCATGGGCGAACCTGTTCTTCGTGATCCTGTTCTCGATGGAAATGTTGTTGAAGATGTACTCGTTGGGGTTGACCAACTACACCACTTCCCAATTCAACAGATTCGACTGTTTTGTCGTTATCAGGTGCGTAGTTTGTAGTCTGGCAGTCAGATTGCATAAAAATATTGTTATTCTCGAAAATGACAAGCAGTCAACTTAAAAAAAAATTCAAACCTGAGCTTTCAGCTCAATCCTGGAGTTTGTGCTCGTCTACCTGGAGTTGATGAAGCCGCTCGGGGTGTCTGTGCTTCGGTCAGCTCGTCTACTGCGTATCTTCAAGGTTACAAAGTAAGTCTAGCAATTTAATAGCGAATTTAAATTTAAATAAAATTTAGGGGTTTAAAAAATCAAAATTAAAAATTTTTCAACTTGATTTTTTTGAAAAATTTCAATTATTTCTGTTTTTGAGTGATAATTAATAGAATTTAATGATATTCCGGCTTCGTTTCATATTCAATTTAAAAGTTAGGCAAACTTTCAAATTCAGAAAATTAAAAATTTTTGAAAAATTGTGAAAATACTTTTTTTGGAAAATCTCGATTTTTTCGCTTTTTAAGTTATTTAACGTATTTAATGCCAATTTGCAGATACTGGACATCACTGCGTAACCTCGTCTCTTCCCTGCTCAATTCCCTCCGGTCAATCATTTCACTTCTGCTGCTTCTCTTCCTCTTCATCGTCATTTTCGCGTTGCTCGGCATGCAGGTCAGCATATTTTTATTTTGTAAAAATATTTTAGTCTTCAAAACAGGCCAAAAACTCGTAGAAAAAATGTATTTAGGTGTTCGGCGGAAAGTTCAACTACAATCCACAGCAGCCGAAACCACGCGCCAACTTCGACACGTTCATTCAGTCGTTGTTGACTGTATTCCAAGTCAGTAAATCTCGCTAATTTCTCTTCTCACTCTCTCTCTCTATCTCTCTCTCTCTCTCTCTCTCTCTCTCTCTCTATTTCTTTCTCCCTCTTTCACTCTCTATCTCTGTCACTCTCTATCTCTGTCAATCTCTATCCCTGTCACTCTCTATCTCTCACTCTCTATCTCTGTCACTCTCTCTCTGTCTCTCCTTCTCTCTTTCTCTCTCCCACTCCCTCTCTCTCTCTCGCTTCACAGCCATATTCCAGATTCTGACGGGTGAAGACTGGAATACAGTAATGTACAGTGGTATCGAATCATTTGGTGGCGTTGGAACTCTGGGTGTCATCGTCTCCATTTACTTCATTGGTGAGTATCAGTTGCCCTACCTTCGAGGTTCTCTTTTCCAGTTCTGTTCATCTGCGGTAATTATATCCTGTTGAACGTGTTCTTGGCTATCGCCGTCGATAATCTGGCCGATGCCGACAGTTTGACGAATGCCGAAAAGGAGGAGGAACAAGGAGGTTTGTAGTATGCAGTTTGGAAAACAACTCTCTGGCGGCAGGGCCGTACCTGGGCCGAAATTTCGGGGGGGGGCAGGACCGAAAAAAATTTTTGACGACCTCCCCCCGGTCGACGCTTTTGTAAAATGGCGGAAAAACGGTGTAAAAGCTCTAAAACAGCGCCGCAGGCGAAATTTTTGCAGATTTGTTTAAGAAAAACCCTGGGATTGAGCCAAATCGCGGCAAAAAATGCACTTCTGAACCGAAATTGCGATTCAATGAATGAAAAAATAAGCGCCGCAGGCAAAAATTGGCGAAAAATGGTGTTTCTAACACTAAAAACCGACTTGCGAACAGCTATAAAAAGCGCCGCAGGCAGAAAAATTTTCCGGAAAAAGATCATAAGGGTCCCCCTCATGAACTTTTCGGCCTTCGGGCGATTGCGGGGCGGGGGGGGGGCGGCTCGCCTGGGACGGCCTGAGAGCGCCCCAGGCAGCAAACTTAGCGAAAATTGCGATAAATTTACTGAAAAACAGCGCCGCAGGCTGAAATTTTTGAAAAACGGTGCCTATAGGATAAAAAAATGGTGTTAAAGAGCGAGGAAAAAGGCGCCGCAGGCAGAAAATTTTTTGAAAAAAACAGTCTATATTATATTAGGTTGGAACTAAAGTTCGCGCAATATTTTTCTTTCTTTTTAATTTTCGGACCGGAAAACGGGCAAGAACCAAAATGTTTTTTGGATGAACGGATATGCAATAAAATTCTCTATTTGATGTGTGGGATGGAATCGCGTTGCTTCCCTATTAGAATTTTTGGTGCTAATGCACTTGGGGGGGCAGTCCCGATTTTGACTACAAGACGCTCCAAATGCCGTTTTTTAAACTCGAAGCCTCTGGAAAAGCTAAGCTAAGCCTAAGCCTAGGCTTAGCTTCATACAAACGAAGCCTGGGCTTAGCTTGAGCCAAGCTAAGCTTAGCTCTAAGCTTAGCCCTAAATGACCCTATTTTGACCTCCTGAGGCAATTTAAAGCTCAAGTTAAGCTTAGCTTGGGCTTAAGCTTAAGCCTAAGCCTAAGCTAAGCTTAGTTAAAGCTAAGTTAAGCCTAGGCTTAAGCAGAAAACCAAGTAGCTTAAGCGGAGCGTCTCGTAACCCCTTACTACCAATTTCGGACTGCCCCCCCCCAACTGCATTAGCACCGAATTTTTTAAAGCTAGATTTAAGCGAAAATGAAAAATCGCTTCGGCCCGCCTTTACAAAACAAATTTGGCTTCCTTTTTAGGCGCTTTGCCGCGCTAAGTTACCGTTAGTAACCGGAATAAAGTGCTCTAGCAATACGGGTTTTCTGCTTTACATCGCCCTGTATTCTCCCTGCTCTGGGCTTTCTATCGCTATATCAATCATCCCGATCCGTTACTTCTCCATGGAGTTACCGCCGTATCATTATTGCCTATTTTGGGCCTTTCCTCCAAATATTAGCCCATTAATGGTGCCAAAATAATCTCCTAACAACACCCAACACCATCTGCCACCCTAACATTAGTGCCAAAAAAATGCGGGAAAATTCAAACTTCTAGATTACCTGCCCCCTCCATGGGGGCAGCAAAAATGATGAAAAAAAAACATAAGGGTACTACCTTATGTACTTTTCGGCCCCCCGAGGATTTCGGGGGGCAGGCTGCCCCCCTGCCCCCCCTCGTACGGGCCTGTCTGGCGGCCAGATTAGACTTTAGAACATCCAGAATAATCAATTATAGTTTGCGTTTTAAACTAGATCCTACTATATATAAAAAAATAGTGTCTGTGTGTGTGCATTTGAATGCAACTTCCGTCTGGGTGTACCAGCAAAAGCGGGTCTGGGGAGGGAGTTTGAGGTATGTATCATACCTCTTTAGGTGCGTAATGGTCTTGCGATGACTGCACACATGCAAAATTGCGGAAAAAGTGGTATTTTCGATATTAAAAATAGGTTTTTGTTAAAAATCTCGGTCCCCCTCTTTGTTAGGAATTCATTAGCATGCGCCGAAAGTGAGGAAACCCAATATAAAGGGACCGAAGGGGTTTTTTTCAGTTTTGGCATTGTGGTTCGAGAAAATTAATCATTAATCAAGTTGTGAATTCTCATAGGATAATTCGGGGCCAGGGTTGAAAAGTCGCGAAGCGGCTTTTCAACCCTGGTCTTAACTAGAACTTTGGACGTATCGGAAAAAATTGCTCCTCCCCCCTAATTGCCAAAGCTCCGAAAATTGTTGTTTGTAGTCGAAGCTGGAACTTCACTGGCATGATTCAAAATTCTAAAAGCAAAAAAGTTGTACTTTCGGAGCTTTTCCAATAGCGGGGGAGCAACGGAAAAATATACAAATTCTGGTTTAAAAATACAAAAATATAGATTTTTCGACCGAAAAGTCGAATTGTTAAACATTTAAGTTTTCTAAAAATATTTCGGTTAGCTAGCTGACTTAACTGACTTGCAGGGCTTCGTTAAAACCAGTTTTTTCAGAGATGGAGCTCGAAGAGGGCGAAGAAATGGACGAGGAAAAGCTGGAACTCGAGGAAGGGTACGGTGGCTACGCGAGGCTCCACTTTACACCCCCTTTTGTATTTAGGTTCGATGAGGACGAGGTGGAGGGGGAGGACGGAGATCTGGCAAATACGGCGCGACCAAGGAGGATGAGCGAACTGCCACAAGTCGCCAAGCAGAAGCCGATTCCAAAGGCCTCTTCTCTCTTCATCCTCTCACACACGAATGCTTTCCGGTATGTCATCAAAATTGACCTTTTGGGAGCTTTTGCATTACCGGGTGGGGGAGGAAACATCTATATTTCACACCGAGAATCGTCTAGAAAACGCAAAAAATTTCGGTTTTTTTCTAAATCGATTTTGGGAGCTTTTGCATTATGGGGGGGAGGTGGTTGCGATAATCCTAAATAAGTCTAGTAACATAATGCAAGTAATTGAAGCATCGAAAACACCTAAAAATCGGCCTAGAAATATATTTTTGGGTACTTTTGCATTAACGGGGGGTGAAATTACAGTTTTTTTTTATTTTTGGCTAGACTGGCATCCATTCTGTCAAAAAAAGCGTTTTCAGGGTGTTCTGCAATCGAATCGTGAACCACGTGTATTTCACGAATTCTGTGTTGGTGTGTATTCTGGTGTCATCGGCTATGTTGGCTGCTGAAGATCCCTTGGAAGCCGATTCTGCCAGGAATAGGGTATGTAGCATCTTGAAATTTATTTTTATAGCTTATCTGCCAGCCAACAATTCTATTTTCGCAAAAAAAAAACAAGTAAAAAAATAGTTATTTTAAGGACTAAGTTTTTACCGATTTATTGAGCGTAACCGAATAGCCAAATTTAGTTAATTTTGGGTTTTTTGCCTGCCGTTTCGCCGATTTTTGTAGCAGTTAAGGTAACGTTTTAGGGCTTTACCTGGCGCAATCGAATAGCCGCGGTCTCTTAATTTTTGTGTTTTTTTTTTGTCGAAATGCATTTACCTGGCGTAATCGAATATCCAAATGCAGCTAAATTCGCGTTTTCTGTTCGAATTTTTTGCGATTTTTGTAGCTATTAACGTAAAAACTGACGATTCCAAGGATTGCATTCTTCTTGCCTTACCTCGCTTAATCGAATAGCAAAATTTAGCTTAGTTTCCGGGATTTGTAGCGGAAGTCGATTTAATTTGATCGAGAATTTATGTAAAAAAGAGAAATTTAACCGATCTAGACTTTTGACTTTTACCTGGCGTAATCGAATAGCCAAATTCGCTTCCTTTGCGGATTTTTTTGGTCGAAAATCGTTTAAATTTCATCCAAAACCTTCGTAAAAATTGTTAATCTCCGCGTTTTGCAGATCCTGAACCGTTTCGACTTCTTCTTCACGACAGTATTCACGGTGGAGATCAGTCTGAAGGTGGTGGTGTTCGGGTTCGTGCTCCACAAGGGATCATTCTGCCGGAACGCCTTCAATCTCCTCGATATCCTCGTCGTAGCCGTCTCGATCATCTCCTTCACCCTCAAGAATGACTACATATCCGTCGTCAAGATTCTTAGGTCTGTTTTTTCAGGTTAATTTGCGCCTCAAAACAATTAAAAATATTATTTTCACTTATTAAACTAAATGACTCGCTGATTAATCGTGTTTATTAACAAAAATTGGATTTAAAGAGGCTAGAAATTGCAAAAAAGGGAGTTGCGGCCGCGAAATCGGCACCCTGTACGAGCCAGGCCTCTGTACGCAAAGAGCCGAGGAAGCCCCGGGATTTGAAATTACCTGTCGTCACCCCACAATCGCGCTTTCAGCCATTTTTTTGCGCTAATTTGGACGATTAAAACAGTATCGATGCGTAAAATTTTTGGTGAAAATTTCAAAAAAGTAGTCAGAACAGCGAAATTATCATGTTTTCACTGGGAAATCAAGCGAAAATCGCAAAAAATCAAAAGGCAGAGCTTGTCCTGCATCGACAACCCGGAAATTTAGCAGAATTTCCGTGTTAAAATTTAAGTAAAACCAATTTAAAATCGTCTTGGTGCGAAAAATAATCCGTTTTTCAGGGTGCTGCGTGTGTTGCGCCCGCTGCGTGCCATCAATCGAGCCAAGGGGTTGAAGCACGTCGTCCAGTGCGTCATCGTCGCTGTCAAAACTATCGGTGGGTGGATTGGGGGACAGATCGATAGACAGATCGACGAATTGACAGACAGACAAACAGAAAACAGTGAAATTGACAGACAAACTGAAAACTTAACGGAAAACTAATTGAAAACTCGTACAAAATGGCCTTATTTCAGGAAACATCATGTTGGTGACGTTCATGCTGCAGTTCATGTTCGCCATCATCGGTGTGCAGCTGTTCAAGGGGACATTCTTCTCTTGTAACGACCTGTCGAAGATGACCGAAGCTGAATGCCGGTATGTCACCCTGAAAATACCGATTTTTCTGCAGGAAAAAATCGGCAAAAAACAAAAAGCTTCTTCGGTTATGTTTGGTAAAAATGACGTTTAAAATCAGAATTTCTTGGCATTAAAGTCTATGCAAATTTGTTTTAACATTTTTTCCAGTGGTGAATATCTGCACTACGAAGACGGAGACCCGACTCGGCCAATCGCGAAGAAGAGGGTCTGGGTGAATAATGACTTCAATTTCGACAACGTCATGGAGGCCATGATATCACTCTTTGTTGTTTCGACATTCGAGGGATGGCCAGAGTGGGTCGAAAATTATTACTGCCAGGCAATCCATATTACAAAAATATAAAATTATCAAGAAGTATGGAGTATCGATTTCTAGCCTAAATGACCAATTTGGCATAATTTCGGAAACCCCAAAAATTTGAGGACTTATTTAAATCAAATTTTTTATTAATTTTAATTGCCAGCCTATTTACAGCTCAAAAATCGAAAAATATAACTGTGCAATTTTTTGAAAAATACAAAGGTTACAGGTTTTTCCACTTTTTATCTTTTTATCAGTAGATTTTAACGAAATTCCTGGTTTAAGTTCATTCTCAAGTTGAAACAGTTTAAAATACGAAAAATCCAACTTCCTTGACTTTTATCAAAAAAAAATACAAAAATATCGATTTTTAGACGACATTTCGAAAAATTTTCAAAAAATTGTTCTCTGAATTTTTGAAGGTAGCATTCAAGTGATATAAAATTGTCTAAACAAAACTCTATTTAGTCTACTGTACGTGGCGATCAACTCGAACGAAGAGGACATGGGCCCCATCCACAATTCCCGGCAGGCTGTCGCCCTCTTCTTCATCGCATTCATCATTGTAATCGGTCAGTTCAGGCAAAAAGCGATCCATTTTTTGATTAAACGGCAAACTGCCATCCAATAAGGTTATTCTCATCATTTAGCATTCTTCATGATGAACATCTTCGTCGGTTTCGTCATCGTCACCTTCCAAAATGAGGGAGAGCGTGAATACGAGAATTGCGAGTTGGACAAGAATCAGGTAGCCTCAATTTTTGCCCAAAACCAAAAACTGTCTACCATTTAGCGCAAATGCATTGAATTTGCGTTGAAAGCGCGGCCACATCGACGGTATATCCCGAGGAATCGATTCCAGTATCGAGTATGGTGGTTCGTCACCTCAAGGTTTGTTAATTTTGTTTTTTTTCCAGCCGTTTTAACTAGAAAATAAATTTTTGTATCTGGAATACCGACAAGCCAAAAATGCCGACAAGGAAAAATGCCGACAAGTCAAAATTCCGAGAAATAGGGGCAAAACTAGCTGAAAAAAAAACTTTGATTCTAAATTTTTCATGCCGAAATTTTGTATCGGCATTTCGGTTGTCGACATTTTGGAGTGTCGGTATTTTGCCTGTCGGCATCCAGAATACCGACCTTTTTCAGTATTCGACTGTCGGCATTTTGGCGTGCTACAGTTTGTCGGTCGGCATTTTCGTCGTCGGCATTTAGGAATGTGGCCTGTCGGTATTTCGAACTTTGAGTGTTGAAATTTCGGGTGTTGCAATTCTGACTGTCGGCATTCTGAATGTCGTTATTTTTGGGCGGCGGCATTTTTGATTTTGAGTGTCGGCATTTCGTGAAATTCTAATGTCGGTATTTTTGGCCATTTGAGCGTTTCTGCTGTCGGCATTTTAATTCTCAGGGTTCCGAGCGTCGGTATTTTTGTCTGTCGGTATTTTGTGCATCGAGGTTCTGACTTGTCGGTCTTCCGAATATTTTTCATCTGTCGGTATTTTGGTATATTCCTTAACGTCGACTGCCGCCATTTTGTCGGTATTCTAAATTTGGAATGTCGGCATTTTGAGGTGTCGATATTTCCATTGTCTAAATTTTGTAGGGATTTCTTCGAAAACACAAATTTTTGCAGATGGTTCGAGTACGGTATCTTCCTGATCATCGTGTTGAATACAGTCTCGTTGGCCTGTAAACACTATCCATCTGGGCCAACATTCGAAAGTATCCTCGATACACTCAATCTCATCTTCACTTCCGTATTCGCCATCGAGGCTTTTCTCAAGATCATTGGTACGTTTAACGGCTAAGCTGTCGAGAATTTAATTTAAAAACTCTACAAATCTGACTAAACACCAAAAACATGGATTTTTCGATAAAAGAGGCGATTTTTCTTAAAACTTTTTTTAAAAGGGGAATTCTGGAAAAAAATGGGTTTTTAACCAAAATTTCGAATTTTTGAACATTTTTCGAATTTTCTATATAGTTTTTGGCGTGAAATATGGCCAAATTTCATAAAAACGCTGTTAAAATATTACACGTCACAAGTTTTTACCGTTTTCAACTATTTTTAGACATAAAAATTACAAACTTCGAAAATACAAACATATCGATTTTTCGGCGCAAATTTTGGGTTTTTAAACATTTTTAAATTTTTCGCCCCCTTGCTCAGCTAAACTGTCATAAATATTCTTCTAATCTCTCTATATTGCTCATTTTCAGCCCTGAACTTCCGGAATTACTTTGGCGACAAGTGGAACGTGTTCGATTTCGTGATTGTGCTCGGTTCATTCATCGATATTTCCTATGGAAAACTGAGTGGAGGCAGCGGATCGGTCCGTTTAATTTTATAAATTAAGCAGAAAAACTTTATAACAATAAGTCCTCCCTTTGCAGGTGATTTCCATCAATTTCTTCCGTCTTTTCCGTGTGATGCGACTCGTCAAATTGTTGTCACGAGGAGAAGGCATCCGAACGTTGCTCTGGACGTTTATGAAATCCTTCCAGGTAGGTTATATTTTACTGGAAATTATTTCAAAAGCCACTTCGCTGCGAAAACGCGAAAAACTGAGAAAAAAAAATAGCTTCTTGGGCAGCGTCGGAATGACATTTCGTAATTGTTTTGAAAGACATGTTTTGAAACGCGCATTTTCAAAGACAGAACCCTTTTGGATGTAGTAATTTTTCGTTATATTTTGGTACTGGACTATTAGCGGGGGGATTTTAACGGGGGAAGCTGATTTTGATTTTTACGTTGATACTTAGCTACTAATAATATATGGCGTAATTTTATAGTGTTTTTCTTGGTTTTTCATTTCTAAAAAACTATAAAAACCTTAAATTATATTTTATAAGAGCGCCGTGCCGAATTACCGGGAAAAAATAGCTTATCCCCCCCCCCCGATAATGCAAAAGTACCAAAAAACGTCATTTTCAGGCCCTACCATACGTCGCGCTCCTGATCGTGCTCCTATTCTTCATCTATGCTGTAATTGGCATGCAAGTATTCGGTAAAGTAGCCCTCGATGACAATACGGCAATACATCGAAACAACAATTTCCACTCGTTCTTCGCCGCCGTTCTCGTCTTGTTCAGGTTTGTATTTTGTTTTTGCTTGTCGAACTTAATTTTGTCGAAATTCTAATGCGCTGAAATTTTTGTTTTGATTTTATAAAATTGAAATGTCGTGATTTTTTAAAATTTAATGGCCAATTTTTGGGATGAATAATCGAGGCGAGAAAGGCATTGACATTTCAAAAATATGGTTGTTTAACAAAATGAAATAAGCCATATTTTGTATCGGAAATTTAGAAAAATAAAGCCATTTTAGATCAGCGACAGGAGAAGCGTGGCAGGAGATCATGTTGTCGTGCTCAAATCGCGAGGAGGTCCGTCATTTTGTAGCTCGTATTTTCTATACTGATTCCTGGAAAATTGAATTCCAAGAGTTAACTTTAGCTAGTTATATAGAAGAGTTGGGTCCTAAGGCCCCCCGATAATGCACAAGTACCTCCAAAGTTGCATTTGTCATTTTTGTTTTTACCGACTTAAAGTGCGGTATTTTACGAGGTTTTCGTATTTTGTAGTCTATAGTTTCTAAGCTGGCCTGCGCAAAATACAACCCCGAAGAAACATTTCAATTTTATGGAAAATTTGAGGATTGCATTTGAAATTTTTTCGATCAAAAAATCACGATTTTACGGGGATTTTAACAATTTAAAGAGAACTTTATGTAGATAAGGCTGGACTTCTGGAAAAAGTCAGCGCTCCATCCCCCCCCCCCGATAATGCAAAAGCACCTAAAAATTCAAAATTTACCTTTTTTTGTATTTTAACCGGTTGAAAGTATGATCTTTGCAGGTGAAATGCGACAAAGAATCGGACGACTACCGTAATAACCAGCAGGCGACTTGCGGGATGAATGTGGCATATCCATATTTCATCTCATTCTTCATGATCTGTTCATTTCTCGTCATCAATCTCTTCGTGGCTGTCATCATGGATAATTTCGATTATCTGACGCGAGATTGGTCTATTCTTGGCCCTCACCATTTGGAGGAATTTGTTCGACTGTGGAGTGAATATGATCCCGATGCAAAGGGAAGAATCAAACATTTGGATGTGGTCACTCTACTCAGAAAGATATCCCCTCCGCTTGGCTTCGGAAAGTTGTGCCCACATCGGCTCGCCTGCAAGGTGCGCTTAAATTAAAATGAATAACAGCTTAAAAATCGATTTCGTGCTTTAATTTTGCACTAGAACTGGATTTTTGGATTAAATTGTCTAAAAACCCATTTTTGGCTTTAACTTTGTATTTAAAATTAATTTTTGCATTGGAAATGGATTTCAAAATTGATTTTAGCATTAATTTTTCTAATCAAAAAGATTAGTGAAATTAAATGGTTTTAAAAATCGATTTTTAACGTTAATTTTTTACTGAAAAGGAATTTTTGAATTCAAATTAGTTAAATAAAAATCTATTGATAACCTTAAATTTTAAATTCAGAAGGAATATTCGATTTAGATCGTTTTAAAAATATTTCGATTTCACTATTTCAATTTTTCAATTTCAAGATATTTAAAAATAGATTTTTAGAATTAATGTTTCAATTAAAAAAGCGAATTTTTCGAATTTAGCATAGATCTAACTTTATTTTTGGAAGTTGCTTGCAACAACACGGTTAGAAGAGCTCGTCTGACTCGAACTTTTGAATCTAACAGGATTTTTTTGGTGCTGGACTGTTAGCGGGGGGGGGGATGGATTGAAAAATGGCCACAATAAAGTATCCATGGTTGCCAGTCAGTTCAAATATTTCCGATTTTTCAGCGGCTCGTCTCGATGAATATGCCGTTGAATTCGGATGGTACCGTCTGTTTCAACGCAACATTATTCGCCCTCGTCAGAACCAATCTGAAGATATACACCGAGGTATTTTTTTTGAAAGAATTCTTATGGTTTTTTGAATTTATAAAGTTTTCTATTTTCGAGGGGGGAGGGCAAATTATTTGCTCGGGACTCAAGTTTTCAATATAAATGAAAAAGGTCTTTATAAATTTCTTTACAAATTCGTATAAAAAAACTTATGAAAAAATGATTTAATGAGATTTTATCATTTAGAAAATTAAAAAAAGTGATATACCTTTTTTTCAGGGCAATATCGACGATGCGAACGAATTGCTTCGGGCGGCAATACGGCGAATATGGAAACGGACGCCAATGAAGATGCTCGACGAGGTCGTGCCGCCGGCCGGAAGTAGGTTTTCATGTTTTATGTAAGCCGCTTAGAACTGCTAAAATTTTGTGAAAAGCTTTATTAAATCGAAAACGCAGAAAAATATACAATTTTATATACTTAACGTAGCTCAAAACCGGAACCCGCTACGCGGCACGCCTCTGTACACGAAAAGCGCGGGAAGCTCGGAAATTTGAAATAGCCTGTCGTCACCCCGAAATCGCGTTTTAGCGGATTTTACGTCAATTTCGACGCCTAAAAGGTCCAAATCCATAAAATTTAGCGTGGATTTCAAAAATGGGCTCGGAATTTTGGAATTATCATGTTTTAAAGGCGACATCCGGGTAAGAAACCCGGAAAAATCATGCAAAACCTCAAAAATAACTTTTCTCCGCCGTTTTTGGGCCAATTTCGATGATTAAAAAAGTATAAAGCTGTAAAATTTAGCGAGGATTTCAAAAATGGGCTCAGAATTTCGTATTTATAACGTTTTCACGGAGAAATCAGGTCTAAAAATGCGTTTCAGAAGAGGACGACGTGACCGTGGGCAAATTCTACGCGACATTCCTCATCCAAGACTACTTCCGCCGCTTCAAAAAGAGGAAAGAGCTCGAGGCGAAGGGAATTGTCGGTCCTGGAGGGAATACACCACAGGCCATGGCCCTACAGGTCGGTTCGGGTGGCAGAAAATCAAAGGGTTTGGCTCATTCCTCAAGATTTGTAGTTTGTAGTCGGATCCGTGCGTTTTTTGGACTGGTTTCTAGCCAGATGCCAGTTTACAGAAAGCTCAATCCCTGAAATTTGTAGCTTGGAGTCTGCAAAGACGTTTTTTAGGTTGGCTTTTATACAGATAGCATTTTCAAAAACCCAATCCTCCAAAATTGTAGTTTCTAGCCTCGTTGCGTTCTAAAAATGTAAACAAGCAAAAAAACCGGACGAAACCATTTTTTAGCATAATCTCCCTGATTTCTGGCGCTAACAGAGTGCCAGTCGAGAGAAACCCCCTAGGGGCTTTCCGGTGCCCCAAAAAGCCCGTCCTTCCCTTTTCTAATACCTGAGAGTAGACCTCCCGAACCCCCCCCCCCTAAACCCCCCTTAACCCCCCTCCCAACCCCCCTCTGTGTCCGTCTGCGTCTCTCCTCTTTCCCCACTATTTCGCCTCTCTCGCGCGAGATAGTGGGGAAAGGGGGAGAGCGCAGAGGGGGGTTGGGAGGGGGGTTAAGGGGGGTTTAGGGGGGGGGGTTCGGGAGGTCTACCTGAGAGAGTAGTCTATGGCGGGGGAGGCTTTTGGCCCTCTTTTTCCGCTTCAAAGATGGGCCCCCGATTCTAGCCGGAGCCCCCAAAAAAGTTGGCCCACCTCGAAGCTTTCCCCCCACTCCGCCCTCCATTATTGAAAAGGCACCAAAAAAACCAGCTTTTGGGCCTCTTAGGTTTTCGGAGCTTTTGCAGTATCGGGGGGGGGGAAGTTAGTCTATGGAATTCCAGATGGACCTAGAAATTTAATATGAATTATTTTAATCGTGTTTTTACCAAAATTTAGCCATTTTTTCAAGTGTAAAAGCCAAACCCCCCCGCCCGATAATGCAAAAGTACCTCGAAATGACAAAAAAATTGAATTTTACTGGAAAATGATATTTTTGTTTTTTAGCTAAATTCGTATGGTATAAAGCTCTAGCCATTTTTTGGGCCCCAAAAAAGAGCCTCCTAGGGGCCTCCATTATTGAAAAGGCACCAGGGGCAGAAGCGGAATCGGGGATTTCTCTCCATTTTTTCTCCTTTTTCTGCCCGAACTGGCTAGTGGCGAGTGCTTTCTTTTCCGGTGAAGAGTGCTGAGCGTGCATTCATTCCCAAGCTTTAGCTCTTCCGAAAAATCGATGAAAATCCACGCTTTTGCTTCTTGTGCGTTAACGAGGGCCCCCAATTTTTCTCATATAAATAGAATTAATATAATTCCCTTTGTTACACTGTATTTTTACTATTTATCACCGTAAAAGCTTACAAAATTTTATTCGAAAAATTTAGATTTCGATGGAAATGCCTATTTTCCCCAAAATGTCGACGTTTTCGAATTTTTAGAGTTTTCTCGGGTTTTTTCCCGATTTCCAATATAGCTGAAATTTTGTTTATTTTAGAATTATTATTTCAAAATTTGAAATTTCCAGACGTTTTCCCAAAAATTGCCAAAGCTCACAGCTCCCCCAAAAACGCTTTTTTGAATTTTATAGGCGGCCGCGGCCGCTTTTAATATTTAATCCTCTGCCTGCCCCGGGGGGTTTTCGGGAAGCTTTTTGTGTTTCTCAACTGACTCCGCTGCTCTTTGAAACGACCGATTTCCAGGCTGGCCTCCGGACGTTGCACGAGATTGGTCCCGAGCTGAAGAGGGCCATTTCCGGAAATCTAGAGACCGATTTCAACTTTGAATCCGAGGAACCTGTCCACAGGGTAAGTTGGACTACGAACTATAAAATTTGTCAGCCATATAGCATATTTTTTCGATGCGGAACTTTAAAGGGATTGGCAAGGCATAACATATGGGTTTTGCTAGCTGTTTTGGTGAAATGGCAGCCAATTTATCCGATTACGACACGAAAACATCAAAAAACCCCAAAATTTACGGATTAGACTTGTCAATCCCTTTAATAGCGATCAAAATGGCTTAGAAAATGAATTTTATACATGTCGTAATCGATTACGGAATTAAAATGCGTGCGCAGAAAAGCGAAAGCGCGTAAAATCCATGCCTCGGGACTTGCCAATCCCTTTAACTGGCACGCAAGCTAAATTTTAGAAAGCGCTTTTATAAACCATCCGCCAGTTTAACGAATTACGACAGGGAAATGAATTTTTGTATGTCGTTGTCGATTACGCAGTGGAATTCCTGGCGCGTGTCGCGCGCGTCGCGCGTAAAATCCATAGCCTTGCCCGTCCCTTTAATTTAAACTTAAACTAAAGTAACCTCTACCTTTTCAGCGTGCCCACTCCCTGTTCAACAATTTCGTCTCGGCCATCGCCGGCAAGGGAGACGGATCACAAGGAGGAGGACCGGGTGGATTGCCATCCGACAGGACGAGTATGCTCCTTCCTTACCGTATGTCTTGCCGTGCTCACACCCCAAGAATTGCTCGAATTAATCTTTCACCCTAAAACCTAAAAGTTTCGCTAACTGGGCGACAGTGCGCGAGAATACGCTACAGTACGTAACTGTACGCCATGGTACGCTACAGTATGCAACAGCACCGAACCGTACGCTTCGTACTGTCCCGTCCGGACATAGAATTGGCATCTGGCAGTCAGCCACTAAAAGGATGTAACAATACGCGTTAATATGCAAAATATGGGCGAGTACGTCATAGTACGCTATAGTACGGGACAGTACGGGGGCGTACTGTTGCGCACTGATGCATCCGGACGGCGAATTGGCATGTCTGGCAGTCAGTCAGCGAAAATACGCAACATTACGCGTTAATACGCAAAAGTACGCAAGAGTACGCTATAGTACGGAACAGTACGGAACCGTACGATGTGTATTGTCGCTTTTGGAACGTAAATTGGCATCCCCCGGCAGACAGTTAGCTTCTCTAGCTAGCGGGTGGCTAGTGTTGGGTCGGTCCGTAGGTCGGTTGGTTGGTGTGTGTCTTCGCTGATTACCCTTCCCTTCGCCCGATATTCGGAATTTTGTTTGCGGGGGACCCATTCTCGGACCCCCGCGAGTTCGGACTCGTGGGACCTCTCCCCCCCTCCCCCCCCCCCCCCCGTGCAGCTCCAATTTCCCGAAAGGCGCTCCTCCCCCCTTTGAAATTTGGGGGGCTCGCCGCCAACCCCCACCTCTTCCTAGCGAGAGTATATCCATCTACACCCCGTCCTGCCCCAGCCTATCGCCAGGCATTCCCTTTGGCGGTCTGACTGCCTGGCAGGGCATCTACTGTACGGAAAAAGCCGCCGAATTTCTGCATTTCTGAGGATTGAGTTTTGTTACGGAATGCACTCTGCCTCCCCGCGACGAAGGCTGATCTATCCCGGCGCATATATCCGTATGTCTCAAGCATGTCCATATTTTTTTCTCGCGCCCAAACGGCATGCCAGCTTTCAACGTCTTTAAAATTACCGGGTACCCCCAAAAAATTCGACCCCCATCTAGCGGTCCGGAGATAGCTCCATCCGGATGACTTTTACAACATTCGAAACCTCTTGAAACGGCGAGTAAACAAACGCTTTTTGTTTGTCCAACAAAACAAACAAATAAAGTATCAAGAAACAAATTTAAACGAGTTTTTAAAGAAGGCGTAAAATCAGCGTCGTCGTGTTAAGTTTGAACAATCAATTAGCATGTGGATTTTGCATAAAATCTGCAGTTTTCACGTATTTTGGGCCTAAAGTGCTTGAATTAAAATGCCTATTTTGAAAACCACATGGTGCCTGTTTTCTCACCTTTCCGAAAGCTTGCGATAGATACCTAAATCGTCAAAATCGGCCACGACTGCGGCCCGCTAGAGGGGGTCGATTTTTGGGACCCCTTTTGAAACATCCTGTTTTTTTGGGGTTTTCTGATTTTTTCGAATTTTAGAGCGTACACCCAGCTTTCTCGCGCGATTTATCAGTAAGTTGCGTGTGAACCAATTTGTTTCGAGAGAGAGAAAGAGAGAAAGAGAGACCACTTTGTTGCTTAACAGTCGGCATGACAATTCGCTCAAAAACAATTTTTTCGGATATCTAAATGCTGTAATCGGTAAAATCCTTCATAAATAACTTAACTGGCTAGCATTCTATGGGAAACCGCAAAAGTTTTTATTCTGGAACTGGATTCCGAGTCATTTAGCTATCGTAATCCATTCGCTGATGGTCCGTTTAGCGTCCAGAATATTTTTTTTGACTACAGAAAAAGTAAAAATCGAGAAACTGCCTGAAACCCAACTCAAGCCCCCCCCGTGAATGCTTCCCCTGTTTAGAGCCTCGATCATTCTCGCCGACACATTCGGTCTCTGGAACGGAGAGCAGTCGAATTGGACCCTCTGAATGGTCACAAAACAGATCTGTCCATTTGCCAGTCAATGGCCGACCGCCCGTCGTGTCGAATGGACCCCCAGGTACGGTAATTCAAGCATGAAGTATCCTTGCCAATCCCTTCTACTAATATGGACATTCTGCTAATCAAAATGCGTGAAAAAGGAATTTTTTGGGGCAAAAAACCATTATATTGCGTAATCGATTTCTCGATTTTCCCGGATTTTGAAAGCATAAAGCATGCGTAAAAAGCGGGTTGGCTAGCAGAGACCGTTTGGGAAGTGTAAATCGATAAACTGGCTACCAGTAAAAAGATTGGCCTGCTAAAAGAGACCTCATTTTTGCTAAAAGAACTTTCATTGCGTGATCGAATACCCGCCCCGGTTTTACGGATTTTCACCGAATTTTGAACGCGTAATCGATTCGCCAATTAACGGGCAGGCTAGCAGAGACCATTTGCAAACTTTGAATCGATAAACTGGCATCCAGCTAAAAGTTTGACAGGCTAGCAGAAGTAATTTCATTGTGTAATCGACTGGCCACCCCGGTTTTCACGCTTTTAACCAATTTTGGAAACGGAAGCGAGTCGCCAAACGGCGGGTCGGCTATCAGAGACCATTTGGGGATTGTAGATTTAAATTGACAGCCAGTTCAGCGGCTGGCAAGCTAGCAGAGGTCATTTGCGCTTGTTTGAAGTTTATGTATGCTAAATTGCCCGAAAAATTGTGACTTTTTGAAAAGCGTCCCATTTTAGGGAAAACTTTTCAGCTTCAGATTTCCTACGATCAAAAATAGCAAAAACGATTTCAGCAGGTGGACGTCGTCTGCCCGTTCTGCCAGCCTACGTCAACCATATCCACGATGAGACAACGGGAATGATGAGGGATACAGGGCAGAGGGGAGGACTCGACCAAGAACAGCAACGGTTCATCGTCGCCAATAGGAAGTGGGTCCCCTGGAAAAATTCTAATCATTTTTCTCATTTTCAGCATTCCATCAGACACAGAAGACGATGATGAATGGGCACGGCGACAACAACAACATCAGCAGAGAGTCATCTCTAATCATGGACATCGGGTGTTGCCCCCGCTCAGGTAGGTGCTCACTTCCCGCTCCATACTGGTGTCGAAAAAAAAACCATCTAGCGGCCCGTGGAAATGTCCGATTTTGATGATTTTGGTGTCTGTCGAAAGCTCTATCGAAAGCGCTATATCTTCTTCTTTTAATTTTCAAAATTTTGATGGTTTTGTTAGCTGCAAAGCGTTTTTCCTGAAACGGGCTTCCGAAGCTTTCCTGAAAAGGGTCTTTTGGAATAACACAATCTCCGAATTTTGATTGATTCCTTGGCAACCAATTTTAGGCCGTTTTGCCATTTCAGAAAACACTACTTAGATAGTGTTGAAGCGGAATAACTGGGGTTTTTTTCATATAAGCGTTCTTTGCTTTCTTGCCAACGCCAAAACCCAGCAAAAAATGCCAAAATTAGCCGAATTTTAACAATCTGTAAGCACAGATATGTTTGTGACAAGAGCTTGCGATTGATACCAAAATCATCAAAACCGGACGTTTCTATGGACCGCTAGAGGGAAAAGTAGTAAGCGCGCGGGAATCCTCCGCCCAGCCGGGGCCTACCCGTTGTATCTCCGCCCCCTGTTTGTCTACAGGGTTGCAAGGTATACCAAAATGCTCGTCTCGGGCTGGCGAGTATTTTGGTATATTTTACACCATGTAGCTTAAAGGGGAGCGGAGATACAAAAGATCGAAGATCGGTGAGGGGGGGCCCAGTCCAAGTTTTTTGTGTTGTCCTGAGCTCTGTCGTTTTTTTCCCTTTTCCTCTCTCAGAACCCAGCTGAATTTGCTTTGTTGCAGAGGTCCAATGCTGATTGCTCGTAATCAAGCTTTGGCAATGGCCGGCATGTCTTCTGAAGCATATGAAGGGACCTATCGACCCGTGAGTTCTTTGCCCCTCGACTGTCTGCTTCAATTTCATGTCGTAACTCTTCTAAACTCCGGTTCTCCAGGTGCCAGACGGGCGATCGGTGCGTCTTCCATTCAGCACGAGACCCGTGTTGATGCCATTGAACAGCCATCCATCATCTGCTGATCGTCTTGTTGGTCAGGCTCTCGGTCTTGGCCGATATATGGATCAACGGGTTGTTGGGGCGGCGAGGAGAGAGCTAGAAGAGGTCAGTTCGAAACATTCTGCCATGATTTTGAAAAAACTGCCAGGCAAGTACGCACTTTAGCTAGGATTTAATGGAGTAATCGGTTTTTTTCGGGGATCGCTTTTGGGCCATTTGATTTTCGCAATAGCGTCAATTTAATAGCGCGAACAATTGCAACAAGATTTCATTCACTTTTAAGCCCTATTTTCCTTCTAACTGACATACGGTGAGGCCTTTGCCCGCATTTGTTAGCAAAACATTGCACTTACTAGGATTTACTAACGTAATCGGTTTTTTTGGAGCGACGATTTTGGGCCAGTTGATTTTTCTCAATAGCGCCAATTAAATGGTGTAACTGATTATAAAAAGTGTTTATCCGTTTTTAATTCCTATTTTCTGGTTAAGTGGCATGCGATACGGCGTCCTAGCTGTTTTTATCAAAAAAGAAACAAATTTCCTAGGATTTACTTGCGTAACTGGTTTTCGAGAGATTGAGCTCATCACCAATTAGATGGCATAGCTAGTTATAAAATTCGCTTCTTCTTATAATTATAAGCTAACTATTTCGTCGTTTTTAAAATTAATTTTCTTATTGACTGGCGTACGATACGGCCGTTTGACAATTTTTCAGCACGAACTGATTTTTTAAAGATCCAGTTCACCACTAATTTCAGGTGTTCGGTGTCGAGGGCCAAGAGCTTGATGCCGTCGCCGAGGCGTTGTCTACAAACTACATGGAACATGTGGGGATGAATGAGATGCGGGATATGAATCAATACTCTCGATCTTCTCTTCTTCGGCCATCATCACCCGGGGATCACGATGATGATGATGAGAGGGATGGACAGGATGATGCCCTCCTTGTCACAACCCTCTAGACATTGAAAAACTGATTTTTGGGTGTCAGAATGCAATAATACGGTGTAATACCTGCGTAATATCATATTCTGACATGCAATCTACGCAAATACCGGTCGGCGGTGTCCTTTATTTGATTGCCCATTCACTTCTTCTTCCAATTTTCTTCTTTTTTGTTTTTTTTTTGTTTGTGATAGACACCGAGTTGCTGTTAATTTCTTTACAAAATTTTTTATTAATCATTGAAAAAGAATGCTTCCTTTTTTCAGTTCCTCCCGACTTTATCCCCCTTAAAAAATTGCTCATCAATGCCCAACACCATGTCTTTTTCCTGAATTTTTGAAAATTTTATTTTTGCTGAGAACCCGCGCATCGTCAGGGAGATTCTAGTCATTGTTTTCTCTCTTCTGCCTGCCATTTTGCTCGAAACTGATGTTTGAGGGGGAATCAGGGTTGTTTTTGACGGATTGAGCTCGACCCCTGAAACAGCAACCAGAATTCTCTAGGAAGCCCCAATCCCCCTATTTCTATTTCCCGCCCCACCCACCATATCCGCCCTTCCCGCTTTCCCCCCGTTATAATGGTGCCCGTTCTATTGTTTTGTCTCAATATCTTTCTCCTTTTCTAATCTGCCATCCATTAATGTGTCCTATAGGGTTTTGGTCACATCCCCGGTACTGGTGTGTTAGCGGGGGATTTACCCAAAAAACCTTGTTTGGCCCGATAAAAACAAGCCATTTTTATAGGATTTTACAAAATTTTTAGATATAAAATATGTAAAGAATTAAAAATGTTCTAAACTACGAAATTTGCACTCAAAAATCTATAAAAAAATACGAAAAATATCAAAATTTCGAGTTTTAAAATACTTTTATTGTTTTTTAGCAATAAAAAAACTTCTAAAAACGTTATAAAAATACATTATCCCATATTAGCAGATAGATCGAGAGGAAAATTAAAAATTAGCCCCCCCCGCTAACAGACAAGTACCAATTCCCCTCCCTCCCCTTCTAATATATGGTGATATCCATAAGTGCCTTCCAAGCTTCTCCCTTCCTTTGGAGAGGCTTCTCCCCTTTTCTCTTCCCTCCTCTTTTCATCCGTTGTTTATCGGCGAATCTGGTGCTGTCTTCTAGCTTTTCTATATATGAATTTTATCGATTGCTGTTTTTAATTGTCCCCCTTAATCCAATATTACTTTCTTCTTTTCAGTTATATATTATCCGATTGAGAAAGTTTTTATATTTTATATATCGTGGATCAGGGCGATTTTTTGATAAAACGTCTATTTGATGGCGAGCGAAAATACGCACGAAATACAGAAAATGCGTCAAAATTATTCGTATTTTTCACAAACTACCTTTTTTGGGTTTGTTATCCATCCGAATTTTTTTAGCTCACTTTTTTGGTTCTTTAGGATTCGCGGGGGAACCAAATTTTTTTCGCCACAAGCCTAAGTTTTTTTATAAATAGCGGTTGCGTTTCTATTAATTTTAGGTCGCCAAATCCTATAGAACCTTTAGGATTTGCGGGGGGGGGTGGGGAGGACCCAAAATCACCAAATTTTCAACTTTTTCTAATATTTTTCTAATTTTTTTGAAAGTTTTATTGCTTTAAATATAGATAAAATTTACTAAAGCAATGTAAAAAAATTTTATATTTGATTACTCGGTCACCAAAAATTTGGTTCCCCCCGCGAATCCTAAAGAACCACCTTTTTCAACACGCATTTGTTATTTTTTTGACACTGACCTTCGAAAAATGATGGTTTTTCAGAAATTTCTGACCCGAAAGCTGAACTTCAAAAAAAAACCAAATCCAAAAAAATTTGCTTTTTTTTCTTTCTCCTTTATCCTTTTCTCTTCGTTCCTCGGCTGGCAGATAAGCGTGTACGCGCTAAAATAAAGGACACACCATTTATTGCTGGATTGAATCGTCGTGTGTGAATAGTCAGTCAATCAAGGCACACGACAAAAGGGATAAGCGAATTAGCCGAGGAGCACCTGTTCCGCCGGGCTACAAACTACAAAAAAAATTAAAAATTTGGCTGTAAGTATAAAATATCAATTTAAGCGCAAGCGAAAAACATAGAATCTGGCGAAAAGGATAAGATGAAGTACAAACTACAAAAAAACACCAAAAGGGCAGTACTAAAGGAAAAAGAAATGCTGTCGGAACGGCAGAAAAATGAATAAAAACAGTGGAAAAGTCTAGAAAAATCAAAGGAGAGCAAAAACCGGAATCGACATAGACGAAACGAAGTGCAATAAATATAACACGGTAATAACGGCGTCTATTGGATCTTATCGTAGCCATTGGGAGTGGGAGCCATGGCAATTGAATTGGTACCTGGTGGAGAACTGTTTGTGGAGGAGGACGGCGAGCATTGTGGAGCAGCAACTTGGCGGCCTGAAAAATAAATCATAAAACCGGGGGTGTAAAAGTCCCGGGAATTGAAAGCGATGGAGATGGATCCTGCGCGTCGCGAAACTCACTAATATCTAATTATAATCAGAATTTTTCTTTTAATTTTAGATATTAACTTTTTTAAGTTTTACCATCAAGTTTTTAGATATTTTTTAAGCCCAATACAATCCTGACCGGTACATGGGCCAGCAGTAGATCGTGTGAGGAGGGCACCATTAGCCCCCCTCACCTCACGTCAGCTAGAATCAGCGGCCGTCTCTTCGACGATCGGGGAGCAGGAGGACGAGTTGATGAAGCCGGCAGCCCTTCTGCCATCAGCCGGAGCTGAGGAATCCTCGAAAATGTCGCCGAACAGCTGCAAATGGTACGTTTTTATGGTGTTTTCGAGTTTTGGGAAAAAATCATTTTGGGCCGAAAAAATTAAATTTTTTTGGTTATTTTTATAATTCTTTTTGCGTTTTAGCAATGGATATTTCTTTACAGTAACCCACTACACCCACCTGGAATAACAGCGGATCGTAGACGGACGCATTGGCCGAGAAAGTGTGCGCCATCCGGATGTGTTCAACCAGCTCCCCGGCCAACAGCATCAGATTCGGGATGAGGAGCAGGATATCCGCCAATCTGGCCGCAGCCCTCGGCGCGTCCGATTTGTCGACAATATGTTGATAGAGAGCGGAATGGGCCCTCGTTCTCAATCCATTCACTGCCTGGGCTGCCTGTCCGACAAGTCCATCGGCGTCTAAAGTAGCAATTGATTGGAAGAAGCCAATTATTTAAGCTTTTGTAGACAATTTAAAACTTCCGGTTTCACCTACCAGGATTGAGCACTATGATGGCTTTGAGCATGACAATCTCCTTCTCATCGAGTGCCGTATCGATCAGCCGAGTTCGAAGCGTGGTCAAGATCTTCGTGACGATTTTGTTGTTCAAGAAGCTGAAGTAATTCAATATTTTTGATCAAAATAACTGGTGCTTACGGGTTATCGGGGGACGAACATTTTTATATAAATAGAGGAATTGCTTCAAAATTCTTTTTACCATTCCGAAACGTAAAATTTGAGCAATTTTCAGTCAAAATACGTAAAAATTACATTTTAGGCGATTTTCCACGTTTTCTTAGTAGTTTTTCAGTTATAAGAACCAGTCCACCGCCCCTCCCCGATAACGCAAAAGATACAAATAACCTACCAATTATCAGGCAGCTTATTCCCCTCATGATAGATATATCCGGGGCCCGGAAGCAGTAGAATTGTCCCCGGAGCGAGAAGCGTCTGAGTGCCCAACTCCAGAAGAGTGAGTGGCGCAAAACAGTTGCGCAACAATTGCATCTAAAAAATCGGAAGTTAAAGGGGTCCTGAACGGATTAGGAGAAGCCGGTAAAAGACTTTACCTTATCCAGTGTGCAAAGACACTCCTCTAGATTGCAGACAAGCCTCGTCCAATCCATCGTCCATGTCAACAGACGTCGAGCCGAATCGGCCAACATGGCGCAGTCAGCCGGCTCCTTTCGATCGAAACGCAGTACATTTCTGTACTTGTCCAACAGCTTCGGATTGTCGAACGCTTGTCTGCAACGGGGATTGAGAAATGAAATTTCGCGGGTTTGTTCTTCTGTGCTTTACGAAGTTTACGATATTTACAGATTTGAGAAAGCTTAGCGAAATTTCAAGGATTGAGTTCCGCTATTCGACGAACTGGCAGACATACAATCCGGACATACAGACAAACATACCTCAGCGTAACCGGCTGCCCGGTTTCCGGTGCCGATGAAGCGGCATGGCCGGCGCCCTCGTTCGCGTTTCTGTCGATGAGCAGCAGCGAGTTAATCAGGATTCTGTTGTCCATCCGTTGGCGTCGTGCCAACTCCTATAAATATAAGAATGTCCATTGAAGGGAATGGCAGGTAGAGAGGCCTAGCTGCCCTCCTAGGCTTTGAGCGGTCACCCCGGCGGGCGAGGGCTCAACTACGGCTCAACACAACACACCATACACACGCCCACCCCTCCCCACCCTGCTCAACGCGCTCATTCTGCAGCTCAGAAGCCTTTCTCAACCCTTCCTTTGGCGTTTTATGATAATCTGACTACCATTTTCTTTATTCCCTATTATTTTCTCATTAATGAAACCCGCTTCTGAGCCTCAATTCACTGCTACCTGCAGAAATTCCCTTTCAAAAGCTCAATCCTACTCTCTTGAGGATTCCAGCCTTTTACTTTTGCATCTTAACGTTGCTAACATCCACTTTAACCAATAAGGGGCTTTTCGAAAGTTTCAAGGGAATTATCCCCTGGACAAGGCATGATTTTTCGATTTTGATACGAAGTTAAGGCATTTGATGCCAAGTTAAGGCATTGACCAACATTTTGCAACATTATTGGTCTGATTTCCTAGGAAATTTAAACCCAGGAAGTTGTCAAAAAATTTAGGCTAGCTACTGAGGGTAATCAGGCACGAAAAATGCTGGGCTCAATTACGGAAAACGGGCATCGGCATCCCTTGGTTGCCATGTCTGATCTGCGTATCTTTGGCGTTTGATCTCCGACCTGCCCCGTGCAACCATTCTTTCCCCCGCATTTTCCTACGCCCTAATAGCCGCCGATTTCTGCACCGGTGGGAAGTTAGCTTTTTCTTTTTCTTCCATCTGCAACCATCCATACTTTTCTGAGCCACACACGCACTTCCCCATTTTTCAAATTTTCCGCGCGCGTGCAAAACTCGTCTAGCACAGAGTGATCGAAACGGCAAATTCTCTAAGCCATAACCACTTCGAGCCCAACGATCTCAACATTTGAACCTCAATAGCAAATTTTTAAAATACGGAAACGATCAGCTAACTTCGTTTTATGTTTATGCTAATTCCGCCCGGGAAACTTCTACATTTTGCGAAATTTTAGTTCAAAGATCTCGCGTTCTAAGCCACTGTAGAAAATGAAAGAAATGATTACCAATGAAAATCAAGTAAAATTAATTACCGATTCCTTGCTGTCCCAATCGGGCTCGTTGTCACTCTCGTGGCTGCTCACCGCCCAGCGTTCGCGTTTCGGCGGACGCTGGATCACCTAGAAATATGGTTTTCAGGTGCTTGGTGGCCAGTTTCGAGATTTTGATACAGCTATTAGCCATGATAATCGATCGATTGGCAGCCTGAAAATGCCAAAAAATACTCACCGCTCCGCTCTTTGTCGGCTTTCTCGTATTCGTTGCCGCGGTTGTAGATCCGGAGCTATATCCGGCCGTTGTTGTTCCCTCATTCCCATTTTGTACTCCATCCTTCGGTCCTCTTTTCTCCATTCGGACAGCTAAAAAAAATTCATAAAAACTCAATCCTGGTTTTAAAAAAAAATGGATCAGCCAGAAAAACGACATTTTTCAAATTCTGATTAAAAAATCCTAAAAAATTCCGTACTAATTTTTGAACGTAAATCCAATAGCAAAACACTCACATTCAATGCGCATCCCGGCAGCTAGACACCGGTTGAAACGACAAAATCGACACGCATTTCTACCCGCTGAAAAAGCATGTTTTTGCCGCCAAAATAAACATTTCCTACCAGTGCTAATGCGACAATTTCCCTCGTATCGACACACGTATTTTGCACCCGATTTCACCGTACGCCAAAAGAAGCATTTGCCTAAAAACAGAACTATGAAAGTTTGTTTTGGTTGAACTGACATCCATGGCATGCGGAGACCCCGTAGTAGAGATGAGAACACGCGCGATCACCGCAGATCACGCACTGAAAATTATGTTTAGAGAAAGTACAAATAAATCAAGTTAAATAAATACAATTCGTGTAAAAACGCCGTCTCCAACCGTTCGCAGAAGTGTCCAAGATTTACAATCTAGCGATCAGTCGAAAACCCTCGAGGAGGTACGTTCCCAGCAAGCTTTGGAATTCTTAGATTTTTTGCGCGCATTTTTTGATGTTTTCTAGCCGAATTTTCGATGTTTTTTCCCATAAAAGGGTTAAAAAGATATTTTTCTGAAACACGACCTTTTAAATTCCCTTCAGACATTCAGTTTGGAGGGCATTCAACGTCAATTTTTGCATGAAAAACATCTAAAATCGAACAAAAATGATGGAATTGGGAGAATCGGAGAGAGCATAGCGTCTCAACTGGCTTTTATTTGCATTTGATTGGTTCCCAAATCATAAAACTTCGACACTTTTCATGACCGCTGGACGGCGCGTCTTATTTGAGGCAGTCTCTAGAAACCTTACCTCAATGACGTCCTTCAGCGAACTGTAGGGCGATTGGGTACCGTCTGGGGCGGTGATCACCTGAAATTCTAATGTCCTTGGAAAGAGACCAGGGCTACTACCTCGTGCTTAATTTCTTCACGAAAAGGAGGTTTGGGTGGATACTGTGAGACACTTCTCTGCAACGGACACGGCTGAGCATCAGAGGCCATTGTTATAGACCGGGAATTGTATCGCTGATCAGCTGCTGCTGAGTCGTGTAAAAGAAGAAAAAGGGAAGAAAGTACCTAAAATTAAGAAAAATTACGACAAACGAATATCCATAAGAGCGAGGGGAATCGATTAAAACTATGAAAACATTTTGAAATTCCGAAACGTTAAAACGGCCTAAAAAAGTTTTTTTACTTCGTAACGATCAAAATAAAGCATTAAAAACTGTAAAACACACTGTATATATCAAACTATGAGTCAGCGAAAACGAAAAAAAACTAAATTCCCCGCCAAAAGGCCAGTACCGAGAAATGCCTAAAAGAAACCTGAAAAACAACAAGTAATTCTGGAATCGCCGAAAATTGCGGTGGAACATTGCCGAGTCGTAGATAAGTGTCAATACCAAGTGGGGGAACTCAATAGGGAGAGAGTGGCAGAAAAGAGAGATCGTAGAGGTAACGACACTGCCCAAAAACGGTAGGTGAAAGGGCGCCGGGGCCAGCGGTGGGCGTCCCACCGTAAAGATCCGGAAATTGCGATGTACAGACTACAGCGAGTTGACAACAAACTTCAATCCAGGCAATGGGCAAATTTTTTAGGTTTTCGGGCTTGTAGGGACTAATGAAGGACAATTTAGCGATATCCGGCTTCGAATTTTTGACGCAATCGGTGTTTGAGGGGTTTTGAGCGAAAAGAGAGTGACAAGTAACTGGGGAATATTCATCAACAAAAAAAATTATCTGCTAATGAGATATTTATAACACCTCTTTCTTGACCATTCGCACTAACAGCACTTTAATCTAAATGAACCATTATCTGATCGACCAAAATCAGTGAAATGTGTCAATGAGCAATTCGCCGACTTTTAAGTGCTTCTGCGCGACCGGAAACGGTTAATTGCTAATTTTCGCAAAGATAAAAGTTTTATTAGCTTTGGCTATTATATATTAGCTTTATAGTTTGGTCATTCACGGTGGTCAAAAGTTTTAATGCCATTTCTAAACAAAACCACTAGCGATCAATGCCAAATTGAGGCCGTGTGCCCCACTGACCGATAGTGGACCATCAGGCGTACAGGGAGGGAATGGGGCACGCCTCAAAAGATCAGAGGCCAAATGCCGACTGGTGTCAGCCTCTCCCCGTGAATGTGTCTATTCGAGGGGGGCAACCCGGCGAGAGAACGGCTGGCTGGTTGGGGTGTGTAGAGGGACGAGAGGGGGGCATCCAGTCTAAACAGTCCCCCCCCTCAATAAGTGGACAGAGAGAGAGAGGAAGGGATGGATTGATCGGAGTAGAGGGCAGACAGCCAGACAGACAACCGCCCATTGCCTCGGCCTCCGCCCATTCACGTGGCCAACCCGCCAGCTAGCTAAAGATGGCTGATGAGACCCAATGGAGCCAAAGAACACAGTGGGGCCTTTTCGATTGGATCAGCGACGTTTTGAGCCGGATCTTTGCCAAGTACACAAGACAGAAGAGGCTCAGTCAATTCGAGTGGGCAGTATTGATGTCAGAAAGCAGAAAACTGCTTCAAAATCAAGGTTTAAAAGCGAAAATCTATTTTTGAAAGAGCATAAAGACGAAAACAGTCGAACTGTACGGTGAACTAGGTCCTGGAATGGAGAACCATCGACAGACTGATCAGCCGAGATGGAAGGGTCGAATGGGGGGGGGGGTCATAAAAGCGCGGGCGAGTTCTCCGCGGGACTCGCAGGGAGCCGCGATCAGCACAATAAACATTCGAAAAGGCGATGATTCTGATCTTGTTGTTTTCTGGGTTGAAAGGTATCGAATTAGAGCTATGACTTCATCGGCGTCAAATCCAAGGCTTGAGAACTTCTTTGGGAAGATCAGAAAATTCGTTTCCGGGGTAAATTGAATAGCAGAAAGATGAAGCCCATTCTCGATACGGAGGCTAACTGGTCTGTAGGGTATCGAACTACATAAATAGTGACCAGATTAAAGCCTAACTCACCGATTCAGAAATCAATCTGTGCGTTTTCGAGTAAACTAATTGATCCTCGGGTCGATCCATCGAGAGTGAATCATTCTAAGGATTGGTTTTAGGCTGAATAAAGAAAAAATCAATTTGTTTTCGGGGGGTGAGCCCCGTTTCCGGGGGTGATCATTGTTGCCGAGTCATAATACCTCCCCCTCCTCCTCCTCGTCGTGTAGCCGTGTTGAGTCCGATATGCCGGCGCTCGATTTGGCAAACACGAAGGGAAAGGTGGATGTACAGAATGACAGACAGACAGATACCCTTAGTGGAGTCTGTGTAGTGGCGAACTGATGCTCCTCACATATCCACCTCGCATTCTCCATTTTGACCCGCAGAATAAATCTTGGTGTCGGCGGCCATGTGACCTCGGGAAAACCCGATTTTTCCGGCCGGATCTGGGGATGCCCAATTTTTGGGAGAAGGAGGAGATCAAAAGGATATTTTTTGGGCGGAAATGTGAGCGAATAATTTTTCTGTCTTCTTGCAGGAAAATAGGCAAATCGGTTCTGGTCTGTTAGCAGGGGGGAGGGGGTAACCGGATTAGCGTATGATGATGTTTTTTGAAAGTGACTTAACAAATTTCGATAACCAGAAGTTAGAAAATTTAGCCTCCAGAAATCCAGAAAATGGCATTTTCGAAATTTCAAGAATTTTTTTCGGGTTTTAAAATCTGAAAACCGGGTAATCTGCCATAAAAATAGTTTTTATTTTGCTATAGGGCCGCCCAAGTTTTTTTTGGGAAAACCGCCTCCTACGGGTAACAGACCACTACCGAAACACGATTCCGAATCGAACCTACATGGCCGATGATGTTCCACCGGATCTGCCAAGGGAAAAGGACTCGAAAGAGTGGACGACAGCTTATCATTTCGCGGGGAGAAGCCCGGATAGATAGTGGGGGATCACGGACCGTGTCGACACTACGTCACACAACACCCATTCCATTCCACAACACACCAAACGGCCGATAAATGGGGCGGGCGACCCCCGGCGAATAGCTCGAGATTACACGAATTCACACCCTCAACAAACGCAACAGTCCACATGCCGATTCAGATCAAAAAATGACCAAAAAAATTCAGGCAAAGTAAAAATTTCGGTTCTTCGCGTTTAACAGGATCAATTTCCACAAAAAGTGCCAATTTGTTGCATCTACTGCCCCGTTAATAACTGACAGCGCATTTTCATAGCGTTTTTAGTAGTTTTTGATTGCTAGCAAATGACAAATTTTTAAAAATCGTAAATTTTACTATTTTTCGCTATTTCCAAACATTTTTTACCAAAGAGTCAATTTCCACCAATGATCGTAATTTTTACGAGTTTTTCGATCTTATAAAGACCTTGTAAATGCTACAAAAATTGTATATAGATTGTGACAGGACGGTACGGTAACGATAAACCGGAAGCCTTTTTTGTGGCGAATTCGAGCATACAATTTTTTTGCCGAAAATAATGGTCAAATTTGGCACTCTTTCTGACGCAAAAACTTTCTAAATCCTCACAACCATTGTTGGAAAGCGCTGATAAATCGAGGAAAAGCCTGAAATGCGTTGGCCTGAGTCTGAGGATGGAATGAGCATCGGAACAAACTCCTCAAACCCCCAAAAACCACACAATCAGCTCCACCTCAAACGGTCGGGCGGCTGTCTTTACAAGGTATCGTTTGAAACTTCGGCATTTTCCAGGGGTATGATTCATACAAAGCAAGATTCAAGGAAAATTACGCGATATGAATAGCCCGAAAACGGAAACTGACTACTGGCGCTTAAAAACACCCTAAAATCGGAATTTTCGCGCTGAAAATAGAAAGCGGCGATTCAGAATATTTTACCAAATGCAATTATTTTAACTGGCAAACAACGGAAGCCTTAAACTTAAAATAATGGAAGGAAATTGGTTGTGTGAGGGAGGGATATCGATTAGGGTGGCAGGTGTGAGTGAGAGAGAGAAAGGAAGGGGGTTAGGTACAGCCGCGGATAACCCCCTCATTGTCCGCCAAGGCTAATTGTAAAGGGCCGAAACCACAGGGCCCAAGCAGCGTAAAGAAGCTCCGCCCACTTTCGGAAACGTTTGATCCGAAATTTGACAAAAACATCGGCTACACTTTACTTTACCCCCCCCCCTCCCGCCGCAGCCGGAATGTTTTGGTTATAACTTTTTTATTTTACATTATTGTAGGCTCAAATCAAAAATCTTAGTATATTTTTCGAAGCTCTATCGAATGCCGTTGCAAAAATCCCGGCAAAAAGCAAAATACCGAACACTTTGAGACCCTTCGGCTGTGGGGGGGCGGGGTAAAGTTACAGTAGCGGTCAAAAAGATGTCCCCTCGGGAAATCCTTTGCTGCTCGTAGACCACAGGCCCAAATTTTATGAAACTTTGCCACTAGGGCAATTTTGATACAGAGAATCCGATGGTGCACTTGAAATCTTTTGAAAATTTCATTTTAGTGATCAAACTTTAATTTTTTTAAAAATCGGTAAATGAACTTTTTCCTGAGGGATTTTCGGGTTTCAAAAGTGTGTCCATCGTGTTCGCAAGGGTCGAAAACCTACCTCAAACATGTTTCAAAACATTTATCTCTTTGAGGTTCACTACAATGAGGCCGAGAAGTTGTCGCCGAGGGGCGCTTTCCTGGCCCCCGTAAGCCTATCCAAAGGATTTTGATCCGCGCGACAGCAACTTTCGGCCGTCAATAGGGTCAGGCCCCGGCAGAAAAAGTGTCGTAAAATCACGGACTAGTGGTTTTCGACCATTGCGAACACGATGGAGACATTTTTGAAACCCGAAAATCCTTCATAAAAAAGTTTATTTTTACAGATTTTTTGAAATCGAAGTTTGACCATTAAAATCAAATTTTCAATAGATTTTAATGTTGCCATCGGATTCTGCGCAACCGAATTGACCTAGGCACGACGTTTCATAAAATGTGGGTCTGTAGTTTACGAGCACCAAGCGATCTCCCGAGGGGACATCTTTTTGACCGCTACTGTAAGTCCAAAAAATCATGCAAGCAAAAACGATATTTGAAGTCTTGTGTAAAAATCGGTACTTGATTTTAGCTGGGGATCTTTGCAAAATCATACAGTACGGCCTATTATAGCGAAATATATTGAAGTTTTACATTAATCGATACTGGAGTTTTGTGTAAAATGAGAACGTGGATTGGGGAAAACTGTACCCGAGATCCGGCGGAAGGGGAGCAAAAAGGGAAATAGGACTATCATCTCACGGGTTGGAACCCAAAATAGGAAAGGGGGACAAGGAAGAGAGAGAGACAGAGAGGGAGAGAGAGAGAGAGCAAGAGAGAGAGAGAGAGACAGAAAGAGAAAGAGAGAGAGAGAGCGTGAGTGAGAGAGACGCGGAGAATAAGGGAGATTGATTGGCAGAAAGATGATCACCGGAAAGGGAAGGCGGAGCAATCAGCGGCACTGTACGTATTGACCCCCTAGAGAATCTCCCGACACGTTCATCAGCGCACGGGCTCACACGGTATCATTTTGTCACAAAAATCTTGGAAAACATGGAAAAAAAATCATGTTTTTAAATGTCAAATTGGCGGCCAGTTTAGTTTTTAAGCCCCTCGTTATTTTTTTGGATGAAAATTTAGCCATGACACGATGGTAAAATCGCCGAATCCATGGCTCATCGTCAAAATACAGCGTCAATTGTTGATAGTATCCAAGCGGACAGTGTTGGTGGATGTTGAAAGAGATCGCCGGCGCCTGTATCCCAAATAACAATCCATCGAATAGCCCGGCCATTGACGACGCTGTTTTCCCAACATCCACGCCAAAGACAACGACCTTTTCAATCCATTTTACGATTTTTAGGGTTCTATTTTTGGCTGGTTTCACCGATACAGTCATTATTGGCCGGGTTGGTGCGAGGGAAAACGGATTACGCAATGTAATGCGGCCCAAAAAATCTCAAACATTGGTCGATTACATCTTTGCAAAAGGCAAACTGGCAGGTAAGAATCACTAAAAAAAATTCTAACTCCTGAAAAATTCAAGCTTTTTGAAATCAGCTTTTTCCAAAAGTTAAACTGTCAGGTGACCACCCGAGAAATTCGCCATTTTTGAAAAATCTGATAAACACAAGGTTTGAATTTCTGGGATACTGTAGCCATTAGTTCCCTTCCCCTGTACACGCGACAACCATTACAATTTATTCAACCCAGAGAAAGTAAGACTGGAAATCCGAGGAGGGGGATGGAATGGCAGGTGGCTGAGACTGTACGCGACGATCCCTCTAGACGACGAGTTGAGCGAGGGAAGAGAGAAGAGGCAGACAGACAGTTGACAACACGAAGTGGATCGACAGGCCGAAGATTAGCTGCAAAATGATACTGTAGGAAATATCAGGTTGGAAGGTAAGTCCTGTCGCCGAGATTTGGAAGGCTGGCTAAATTCGTAGATAGCTCCACTCTGGACATGCGATATGTCATTTTGTAGGTCTAGTCCTGAACCGTTGCGTGAGGAGGGTCCTAGACCGCCAAAATTAGGGAAAACCGAGATACAGGCCCGAGAAGTTTTTGGAAAAATTAGGCAATAGTGTTTTTGCAAGTTATCTCTGCATATAGTCATTTGCATGCGATATCTTTAACGCGAATCGATAGCTCTCGAGGAGTAGATATCGATAGATGTTGAGATCGTCGAAATCGGACATCGGATGGCCGAGATATGGCCTCTCGAAATTTGGGCCATTTCTTAGAACTTTTCCCGATTGCCCATACATTCCCATACATTTGACCGGCAGGGTCCGAAAATTGCCGCTTTATTTTTGGACGCGCCTGGTGGATTTTATCAAAAGGTATGGGATTTCGGGAAAAGTTCTAAGAAATGGGCTAAATTTCGAGAGGCCATATCTCGGCCATCTGATGTCCGATTGCGACAATCTGAACATCTATCGATATCTACTCCTCGAGCTCTATCGATTGGCGTGAAAGGTATCGCATGCAAATTGCTCTATGCAGAGATAACTTGCAAAAACACTTTTGCTTGATTTTGCGAAAAACTTTTCGGACCTGTATCTCGGCCCTCCTTGACTTTGGCGGTTCGGGACCCACCACCCGAAACGGATCAGGTCGGGACCTACAAAATGACATATCACATGTTCAGAATGGAGCTATCTACGAATTTAGCCAGCCTTCCAAAATCTCGGCGACAGGACTTACCTTCCAACCTGATACTATGCAGCATACTGTATGCCAGTAGACATTTTAAAACGAGTCCCCGGACCCTGGGCTGATTTTAAAGGCACTGGAAGCCAGATTGGCAACCAGTTCGCCCGTTTCGATCGATCGAATGGAAAATTGGGAGCTTGTGCAATATCGGGGGTGGGGGGATGCAAACGCTTCGTATAAGGCCAGATATGCCTATCAATGCCCCCGATACTGCAAAAGTACCCGGTATCACTGGACTAACCGATATGGGAAGGGCTGGATAGTTGGCATCTGGAGATGAGAGGAAGACATCAGCCACGACGAGACCAAGCAGGACACCCATTGCACTACCCACACTGCAGATGAGGCCACCTGGAAATGAGAAGAGAGTGGAGAGAGCTATAGAGAGAGAGAGAGAGAGAGAGACAGAGAGAGAGAGAGAGAGAGAGAGAGAGAGAGGGAGAGAGAGTGACCCACCACTGGCCAGGGATTTGCCGACGAGCAGACTGTAGAAGATGAAGTCGCCCATGCCGAGGTGCAGGGTTTCTGAAGTCGGAATGACATGTCGTAATCGAATCAGAAAATCGGTAATTTCCTGCCGTAAACGCATAAAAATTGCCGGTTTACCTATCGTAATCGGTTTTACGAATCCTTGCTTTAACTAGCGTAACCGAATGTGGGGAGAGAGAGAGAGAGAGAGAGAGAGAGAGAAACAGACGACTTATCCAATTTCCAACCTGTATGATCGAGCGCTTGAGCGGCATTCATCCCCTCATCCTCATCCTCCTCCCCATTCTCGTGCTCCTTCTCGTGCTCCATCACTTCTTCGTTCTCATTCCCCAGCCGCATCCTGGCCAGGCTGCTCTCCGAGACGCTTTCCGCCGTTTTCGTCTCGCTAAAATCTTGGTTGGCGGACAGTTAGAAAATTCAGAACGTTAAAACCGTGTTTTGGCTTTTTAAAGGGCCTGACAATGAAGCTTTTCATACCTTACCGTAACGGTATTAAAACAGTTTTATCGCTTAGAATAGCTTAACTGCCTGCCAAAGATACCTCTCAATGAGCCGTTGCCTCTCCTCTTCCCCCATCTCATCAATCGACGCATTGATGGCCATTTCTTCGTGCTCATTCTCATGCTCCTCATCGTCCTCCTGTATCTCGATGGTTCTCTTCTTTCCCTCTCCTCCTCCTCCATTATTATTCCCATCCTGTCCATCTCTCGATTCAAACATCAACATTCGCAGCATCTAAAAAGGCGCCAAATTCGGTTCTTGTGCAATATCGGGTGGGGAGGTAGCAACTTTTTTAAAAGATGAAATTTGTCGAACCCATAAAAACAGCGTTTTCTGCTCTTTTTCCTCTAAATAAACTAAAAAAAACCTCCAATTTTTATAAAAATGCAAAAATAGCGATTTTTCGACACAAATCCCGATTTTCGAAAAAATTCAACTTTCGACACATTTTTCAAGCTGCCTAACCAGTTTTTTCACTTAAAATAGCTAAAATTTTGCCGAAAAATCATTAAACACTTACAAGTCTCGATTAAAAACAAAAATACCGATTTTTGACAAAAATTTTAAATTTTCAAGCATTTTTCGTAATTTTCTAGATATTTTTTTCCACTTTAAAAAGCGCCACATTTGCTCAAAAACACTATTAAAAGGCTGGCGAAAATTACAAGACATTCTGGAGTTTCAGTCCTCCCCCGATCATGGAAAAACTCCCTCTCGTATCCACCTACCGTATGACTATACTGGGAAGCATATTCATTCGCCACTTTCAGAGGGCCATTCGGTGACAGCACAGCAAAACAATCTGAATAGGTGAGGGGTACGGTAGATTGTCCACAATTTAGAAGCTTACCCCAAAGCGGTATCATTCCGAGTAGAAACCATGCAGTATGGGTGGGAAGGGCACGAAGGTATGATGTGGAGATGAGGGAACAGTTTGTCACCACGTACATCTGAAAATTGGGTAGTCAGGAAGGTGGCACAGCTGGTTAGATGCTATAGCGTCAGCCACATAAGCCGGGTTCGAATCCCCCGGGTGCCATGGTTTTGCATTTTGTTTTTTCGATAGCGGAGAATAGCGCAGCCAGTTAGCGGATAGACTGCCGCACAGAAGATCCGGGTTCGAATCCTCCCGACCCCAATGTTGTGCTTTTTGGTCTTTAAGGTGGCCTAGGGTAGCTCAACCAGTTAGTTAGTAGACCGTTAGGCAGATAACCCAGGTTCGGATCTTCTAACCGGAAATCCGTTGCTTTTAATAGAGCAAAACTCCGATAGAGCATGGCGCAGTCGGTTAGATGCATTGCCGTCAGCCACATAAGCCGGCGTCGAATCCCCCGCGCAAAAAAGTTTTGCTTTTTGATTTTCGTGCCTTGCCGATGGTAGCTCAGTCGGTTGGAGGGAAGCCGGTCCGGCAAATGGCGCAGGTTCGATTCCTGTTGGCGAAAATGCATGGCTTTTTGCTTGTCGAGCTTTGGTGATGGTCACGCAGTCGGTTAGATCGCTGAGCGTCAGGCAGATAGCCGAGGTTCGAATCCTTGCGGCGCCATTTTTTTTGCATTTTGGTTTTGCTGAAATCTAGAGTCCGAAATCATACCTGATGCATCCACAACGGCATTCTGTCGGTCATAAAGACGATAGATCCGAGACCGGCATATACCGTAGTACCCGCCAATGTCAACCACAGTATCCAGTCTTCATCTTCGAGATGACGGGCTGCCAGGTCTCTAAAAAGAGGGATGAGAGAGAGAGAGCCAGAGAGAGAGAGCGAGAGAGAGATACAGTACCTGAGCACGACCGGAAAGAGACACCAGAGGACGAATAGACACGCAAACGACAGCCACGATTGTACCAGTAACTAAAAAAGCGTTAACAGAAGGTAAAGCGCCAGAATCGACCCGTTCGCAAGACTAGGTCTCGACAGTTAGCTTGTCGATACCTAGTCGAGGGGAGGGGTCGATTTTGGCCCTTCTCAGTCCCTTTAATGGGAAAGGAGATACCTTGAAATTGTAGACGACCAGCCCCAACATGACGAAAGAGACGACGGCCACGAGCAGGATGGCACTGAAGCCGTTCAGCTGGAAATCGAGTAGTTAGTGGCACCATCGCTTTAAAGGGGCCGGGAAGGCATGGATTCCGATGTATTTCGACAGCAGCGCAGCACACAACGCGTGCGCATCTTGCCGATTTCATTGCGTGATGCATTACGAATTTTACGCGTGTTACGTGTAGCGGCTCGGAAATCCATCGCAAAAGTGCCTTGCCGGTCCCTTTAAATGCGTATCTCCCCACCAAGCTATCATAGAGATCACTTCCGGTTGTGCGATTCGAGTCGGCCGACAGAAAGTAGGAGGGCATCAATTTTGGGTCCTGAAAAGAGCAGGGTTACGGTAATCGGGAGACAAATAAAAGATCTTAGGTTCTTTGGCATTAGCGGGGGTGGGTCCCAATCTTTTCCCATTTTAAAGGAATTAAAAAGACAGAAACGCTTACTAAAATAATAGAAAGCATTTTACCCATGTTTTTATTAAAATACAACGATATTTCAAGTGAAAAGAATGTAAAAAATCTTTAAAAATTCCAAATTTTGTTCGAAATGGGGGATTTTTCGGTGAAAAATCGATATTTTGTAATTTTTGAAAATTGTAAAGTTTTACGTTCAGAAAATGTATAAATGTAACTTCCTCCTATGTTTAAAAAACGTCCCCCCGCCCCCCTCCCACGATAATGCCAAAGTACCCAATCTAGCAGACCCACATGCTTCATCTGATAGACGTGGACCCAGAGGGTGACAGTCAGACCCATATTGCACAGAATGGCCGGGAAGAGAGTGATCACCTGACAGATAAAATAAATTGAAGGCAAGGAGATACTTGACTACACTTCCGGGTGAGCTTCTGGATAGCATCCGAGCCGAATCGAGACATTCCTGGAAAAAACGACGGTACTTCTCTGTTAGCGGGGGGTTTTATTTTTCCGCCTCTACTTCCCTGTAAAGAATATATACCGCATTTTTATGTTGTTTTTGGTAGTTTTTTATTGGCGGAAAGTTCAAAAATGCTTTTCTTTTTGAGAAATGCTTTACGAAATTTCGAAAATTCCAGAATTGTTGTTTTTTTGACCATTTTTAATAAATTATTCACCAAAAATCAACAATTTCGAAATTCCATACTTTTTATGAGCATTTTTAAGCCTAAAAACATGTGTAAAATGCTATAACAATGGATTATATTTCGCTACCAGGGTTGAAAAGCCGCTTCGCGACTTTCCAACCCTGGCCCCGTCTCGGACCCCATACTATTCTGCCCTTTGCATAATTGTCCTCCATTCAGGACAAAAATAATAAAAAACAACCCTTTATGTCTCTTTATATAGGCGACCACCCACTTCCGGTCTATGCTAATTATGCCTAACAAAGAGATTTTTACAAAAACCTAAATTTAATAGCGAAAATGGCTAATTTTTAAAAACATGATATGTGTGCAGTCATCCCTAGACCATTACGCACCTAATGACGTATCGAACGTAGCCCAATACCCGTCCCTTCTTGAGATATCCTCCGGACAGACAGACGGAAGTGGATGCAAAGTGGCACACACACACACACACACAAGCACTATTTTTTTATATATAGTAGGATTACGGGATTACTGGGGGAAAATTGGTCCCCCCCGCTAACAGTTAAGTACCACCAAAATTACTTCCCATTAAATCCGTAAATTAGCATACCAATCGTTATAATTGAGATTGACTAACCGGATGGGAAGAATTGGAGTGAAGACAAGGAAAATGAATTATTCGCTCGGATATATCTTCTTGGACCGGAAACGCGTGCAAATTGATGCAAACTTTTGGCACTTACCGGTTGATTCGTAATTTTTTTCGAAACTATGAGCTTTTCCCAGTGTTTTCTGAATAGCTATTTCCATAACTTAGCGATGCGAAACAAACGAGACATTCTAAACCAATTTAACAATTTTTGTATCTCTAAATGAGTCGGTTTAACCTCCGAATTTTGTTGTTTGCGTCCCAATTCGACATTTCATCGTTTTTTGGATTTTTCTGTATGGCAACTTGCCTATTTTAATTACGCAAAAAAAATCCATTGGATTTCATTGAATTACTATATTTTTTCATTTTGTCAAGCTTTTATTTAAATTTGGTGTAAAAATAGCTGAATTGTAGTTGTGGTCCACTTTATTTAAATTAAAAAAATAATAAAACGCATATAAAGCCTTTGACAACGTTGAACAATTTGCATAAAAAAAAACGAAAAATGACAAATTGAGAGGGTATTCGCGTGGAGGGGCGGATATCATCATATTCACTGAGAATTTATTCGCATAAAAATACGTTTTGAGATTACGGTAAGTCTTGTGAATGGTGTGAAAAGAGATAAATGTGTTTTTTTGAGTATCACAGGGGCTGGCTACCGTATCCAATAGACAAAGAGAGATGATTTAGGGAATATGCACCTCTGCCCCCCGTACAGCCCTCTCATTCAGATCGATACGCTGCTTCGTCGCAAACTGAAAAATAACTCAGTCCTTGAAAATTTCATTTTCTTATTTTTTTCGTCAAAAATCTGATAGTTTTCTCTACAATGAGACCAATAAAAAACGTTATCCTCTATAAATATTCTATTTTGTAATTTTCGCTGGTAAATTTGATAGTTTTCCATACAGTAAGACTGATGACACAAGCTAAATACTTCAAAAAATATGATTTCAAAAATTTTTAGGTATTAGTTAACAGTTTGCTGTACAGTAAGGCTAATAAAAAAACTCAATCCTTCAAATTATGTTTTTTCGAAGTTGCTAGGATTGAGATTCTTTAGCCTGGTGTACAGTAAGACTCATAAAAAACCCAATTCTTCAAAAAAATTGATAATTTGGTATTTTGGCTGTAAGTTTGATAGTTTTCTATACAGTAAGACTATTGGTAAAATTCAATCCATCGAATTTCGGCGTTTCGATGTTTTTCTGGATGAATGAGATAGCTTGCTATACAGTAAGACTAATGCTATAACTCAATCCTCAAAATTGCTTTTATTTTTGGGTTATGTCAGCAAAAACCGCTATTTGGCTACCAGAATGAAGCTTCAAGGCCAAGAGGAACTCGACGAACCTGGAATTGGCAATTTCCCTTGCTCGTCAATCGGACCACCTTGTTGCCTTCGATCTGGACGACCTGCTTCACCTAAAAATGGTCCAAAATTGATGTAAAAAGCAAAAATCCCTACCTCCTTCTTGCAAAGCGGCGAGGCAATCAGCGTACTGAAAATCTCGGCAATCGGGGCTCGAATCGGCATGATTAGCACGTTGTCGCGTCGCCTAGAAGGAAAACTGTAATTTTAAAATGTTTTGAAGGTTGTCTGGTTTGCAGAAAATAGTGGCACTGGTCTGTTAACGGGGGTGCTTTAGCGGGTGAACCAAATTTTCCCCGGTAATTCCGGAAGGCCCATAGCGACATACAGACCATTTTAAAGCATTTTATACAGTTTTTAGATATGAAAAGTTCATAAAAAGATAGAAAAATTTTTGGATTTTGTCAAACTGTAAGAAAATGGATCAAAAATGAGAATTTTTGATTTTTCAAATTGTCGAAAAATATTTTGCATCCCTTTCTGGCAATAAAAACTACTAAAACCCTATCAAAAACACTATTTATGATCAATAGCTTTTCATCTCGCCAACCCTTCCCCCCCTCCCAGCTAACAGTCCAGGACCGAAAAAGTTCGGTTCCCCAATTTCCTCTTCCTCCCCGGAAACCCCGTCAATCCACGAGTTTCCCAGCTTTGTGCCCCGCAGACGGAGGATTGACCTTGCTGGTAGGGGTGTGGAGGAAGGGGGAGGCATGGGAAGGGTGTGCAAACACCCATTTTATGCGAATCGGAAATGACCCTCCAGCTATTGGCTGTCAATATGCGCGAATTCTGGATTAGCATACCTACTGGAGCTTGTGCAATACCGGGGGAGCTGCTGTTTTTTTCACACGAGTCCAGAAATGTCTAGTAATTTAATAGCAACTATTTTAATAGCGTTTTAGTAAAAATTAGCTAGACAAAATATAGAAAACAATAGAAAATGCTTAAAAATTCAATTTCAAAACGAAATCGGGCATTTTTGGTCGAAAATTCTAATTTTCTGAATAATAAGGAAAGCATCAAGTAAAGGATGATTAGCATACCTTCGAATTGAGATGAGAACAGTTCCAGAGAGACGCGAGACTACTGTATACGATCCACGATAGTTCATCTCTTCAATGATGATTGAGGCTTCTGTCTGGTAGCCGGGCGGCACCTGGAAAGGGAGAATTGGTTTTTTTCTGTTAACGGGGGGGCCTATTTTCCTCAATTGATTCCGTACGCCCCAAGAAAGAAATATAAATAATTTTTTTAGCATTCTTGGCAGATCTTATTTTTGAATACCCTACGCTATAAAAAACTCGCCGAGACATTGCTATCGACAGCCCAACTCAACGTCTCGGTGATGGCATTTTCTGAGAGATTGTTGAAGTGCATCTCGTGTTTGAAGCCCGCCTTCAGCTCCGCGATTTCGCCTGCAATTTTCTGACTGTCATCCAGTGGGTTTGAAAATTTTGTTTAAGGTTATTCATAACACAAGATCTTTGTTTTTGATACCGATTTGTCTTAACTGTCATCCAGTCGATAGGACTGTCATCCAGTGGGTGGGAAAATTTGGGTTTAACGGTCTTTGCAGGCAAAAATTTCAGTTTTTGTTCCCGATTTCGCCTAACTGACCTCCAATAAATAAGACAGTTCGGTTTTAAAGGGACATGGAAGACAAAATTTTCGTTTTTGTCGAGTTGGCTTAACTGTTACCCAAAAAATGGGAAAATTTGGTTTTAACGGGACATGGAAGGCAGAATCTTCGTTTTATCGTTCAGTTGCCTCAACTGTCACCCAGCAAACCGAAAAATATTATTTTATAGCGTTTTGGAAAGGCTATATTTTTTGTTTTTGTATCTTATCATCCAGTACATAAGAAAGCTCGGTTTAAAGGGTTTGTAAGACAAAATTCCTAATTTTTCGGCTTATTTGTCTTAACTGTTACCCATCTACGCCAATTAGCTGGGTAAATTTCACTTCACCGGCCCTTTAGTATTCAAAAAAATAATGTTGGCAACTTCACCGTCTAAACTGACTGGCAATTTCTCGTGTCCCCCCACCAGGCAGTAGGTATATCCTGTGGGTGTCCCAAATTGGGCCCCCGTTTTCCAGTCAGCCCCCCCCCTCCCCTGCAGGCATAAATCCCCCCGAGACCCCCAAAACGGAGGGGGCATAATCGCCGCGCCCGGGAGACACAACCATCGAGGAGAAGGAGTCTAGGGGTAGAAGAAGAAGAGAATCCTCTCTTTCTCCCTTCACAACTACCTACTTATCGATTCTTCCAAAGTTTCGGAAGGGGGGTGGTGGAAGTAGAATGGGGATGGCGAAATGGCCAGAGAGAGAGCGAGAGTGAGAGAGAGAGAGAGTGACAGCGAGAGAGTGAGAGAGAGTGAGAAAGAAAGAGGAGCAAGAGAATGATAGAGAGTTCGAGAGAAAGAGAGAGTGAGAGTGACAGAGATAAAGGGTGCTTTTCTGTTGACGGGGGAGCTAATTTTTATTTTTCCGCCTATGCCTATCGGCTAATAATATTTACTGTATTTTTATAGCGTTTGTAGTGGTTTTCGATAGCTGAAAATGTTATAAATATATATTTTTTAAAATTTGAAAATCCCAAAATGTTTACATTTATTTTCAGCTACTTTCACGCAATTTTACCAAAATTCAAAAATTTTCTATTTTCGTGAACTTTTTACATCTAAAAACCGTGCATAATGCTATAAAATGGTTTACATCTCGCCGTAGGGATTACTGTACGAGACTGTTATTACTGACTTTTGTACGAGATTACTGGGCAAATTGGATTCCCCCGTTAACAGAGCAGTACCAATTTCAAGACTCAATCCATTCTAATTTAATTTTTTCCCGAATTTTCTCTGATTTTGCACCTCACCACCAGCCAGTTACAAATTCCGCAAGTTTCCTATAACCAGTAAACCCCCCGGTGACCAATATTCGGCCGAGCAGTTTGCCCTGAATAGGGGGTTTTGTGTGTTGTCTGTCTGTCTGTCTGTCTGTCTGTCTGTTTGTCCGTTTGTGTGCCGGTGGGGGTCTAAATGCGAGTCAGGAGGCCTTTGATTCGCAGCGGGACCCTTGCCTCTACCTTTCCTCTACCCTGTCCACTTCACCTTTATTCCGAACACAGGTGGATTGCGCGATTGAGGGGAGAAGCAAGGTCAGGGACCCCGTTTACCGCTTTGACTAATAGTAATTCCAACTTACAAGGCGTCTTGAGTGTAAGCTCGGCTTCGGCCCCAATTGTGTATCCCTGTTCACGGGCGACAGCGCACAGTGATTCCGTCGTTCGTTCCGTCTGAAAAAGCGCTAAATTCAACCAAACGTAAGATTTTACGGATTAAAGGGAGCGGCCAGCCAGCCAAAATTTGCCGATTTGGGCGAACTGGCAGCCATTTTGGGGAAATAGCATGGCTTGGAGTTTGTAGCTAGTTAAAATTTACGGATTTCGACAAACTGTTCTCCGGCTTATCCAAATCGACTTCTAGCAAGCCCAAGCAAAGGATTTACTGTAAAGTGTTTTTACCCAAGTTGGAGTTTCGATTCGGGACCAAGTGCATCTTGTGCAGAATTTTTCGCTGATTCCGAATCCGTGTTCCAAATTTGCTGCGAACGTTTATTTTGAAAGTTATACAGCAATTATGGTAGTGTTTTTCACCAAAATCAAGGAACCGTTATCGTTTTCGGTTTTCCTGATCGATTTCAACTTCAAATTTGGCTAGATAAGCATCTTAAAAGTCAAAACAAGCTTTTTTACAAAATTAAATTTTCTTAGCAAAGATGCAGGGCGGGGCCCTTGCCCTGGGAGAGCCCCTGGGAGAGGGCCCCTGGGAGAAGCAGAACCTTGGAGGGAATAGTGGGCCAGTATCCGAATTTTTGGCTTTTTCAAGCTTAAAGGGACGCCGACGGCATAGACAATCGGTTACGCGCGGAAAAGAAAATGTCTCTGCGCCTCTCCCCTGGGCGCGCTCTCTCCCCTGTTGGCTACTTGCCAATTTGTTGATGGGGGGATCGACACATGCCGTCGGCAGCCCTTTAATTTGCACCCAAAATGACTTTTAAAATAAAAGTCCGCAGCAAATTTGGAAAACGGATTCGGAAGCAGCAAAAAATTCTGCACAAGATGCACTTGGTCCCGAATCGAAACTCCAATTTGAGTAAAAACACTTCACAGTTAGAGAAACTGGCGGCCAGTACACCGAAATTACTTGGTTTGAAGTTTATAGCTTAACCCAGAGAGACAAAATTTATGAATTTAGACCGACTGGCAGCCAGTTTGTCCAAATTGGGCTAGTTCATAGTTTGTAGCCGTACCTTAAACGAGTACTCCTGTGGTCGATTGGTGTTGTTGGTGAAGACGGATTTGAAGAGGGTAAACGGCTTGGCGCCCGATGGCATGAAGTTGACGTAATCTGGATCCTCATGCACGATCACCAGGGCTTTCCGATTCTGAAAAATTATAAAATTGTTGAAATTACTTTTTAAGGGTACCGGCAATGTAAGCCCTTTCCATGAATTTCATCCACATCCTTTGTTTTTCTCCTATTGACCAACGAGTGTGTACCCTGCACACCCGAATCCGGCATAGTGGCCACCCCATCCCCTCGAGGGCTTTAATTCCCCCCATCCCATCTCGTCCCGAACTCACTCTCTACTCTCAATGATGGCCCCCCATTCCAGGGCTTCTCCTCCCCTTGGGGTCTTCCCCTTGAAAGAGAAGTGTATACTGGATTGGCACCTGTCCTCGATTCTCTCGTTTCTCTCCACCCTCTCACTCTCTCGCCCCTAACTCTAAACACAAACAAATTGGCCGGTGGGGCAATGGGTCTTACGAATCAAACAGCTGCATTTGGGGGCTGAAACGGAGAAAAAAGCTGTCAATGGAGCAAAAGCATTCAATTCGGGCTTCAGGCTGGCAAAGAACACGAAGTTTGGCTTGAAAATCGATTTATATAGGATTTTCGATGGGTTGAGCCAGCCGAAAATTCGCAGAATTCCACGATTTTAATTTTTCGAAAAAAACTGGTCATGTGGTTCTTAGAAAACGTTGTGAGTTTAGCTATCTGCCACCTAAAACTAATGTTTTTCGAATCAAAACTACCGTACAGAGGTGTCTAACGGAATTTCCATGCGAAAAATGGCTCAAAATCGTCCAAAATCCAATTTCGAAATTTTATAAAAAAGCAGATGGTTCCATGGGAATAAAAAGCTAACAGTTAAGCTAACTGCCACCCAAAAAAAATAGAAATTGAGAAAAATTGGGTTGTAAATAGCTTTTAATCAGATTTGACGGGATTGAGCTAATCGAAAATCCTTCAAATTCCAATTTTCGAATTTAAAAAAAATTATATGAGAATAAAAAGCTGCCAGTTCAGCAATCTGCCCCCCAAAAATAACATTCTCCGATTTAAAACTACCATACAGAGATGTCTAACGGAATTCCCATGTCAAAAATGCCGCGAGAAATCGTCCAAAATCTCTTTTCGCCCGTCTTTTCGCGGAATGCATCGTGGTGTGCGGTCTTCCCTTTGAAGCTGCGCTCTATTCTTCCGCTTATTCGACCCGTCCCTCCCTTCTCGTCCCGTTATGTGTAAGCGAGAGCCTTAAATTGTGTGCCCTTCCGTGGGTCGTTGGCTCGACTCTCCCCCCCCTTCCCACCCGAGTCGTATTTCAGACGGGGCCCCCGAGCAGCTTCACAAAGCCTCCCTCATTACCCCCTGTCTTCTTCTTTTTCTCTCTTCTCTCTACCCCAACAACATCATCATCATTCAGTCAACACCCCCAGTTTGGCCATGGAAATGCTCTTAAATTGGCAGTTCTGCTTTTAAATGGACGAGAAAGGCAGAAATCCAGTGAATGTTGGACGAAAATTGCCCTTTAAAACTTTATTTTGTAATTTCGAGCCTGGATTTTCCCCGTTTCCGGTGAACTGGCTACCACTAAAGGCCTTCTAACAGAAATTCCAAAGTTCGGAATCCTGTACGCGCGAGGCCTCTGTACGCAGAAAGCGCGGGAAGGCCGGAGATTTGCAGTTCCCTGTCGTCACCAAAAATCGTGTTCCCAACCGTTTCTGGGACAAATTTGGCGAATGAAAAGTTTAAAATGTATAAAATTTGATGCCATTTTTAAAAAAGCGCTCTGAATTTTAAAATTATAATTTTTCACGGAGAGATTAGGCAAAAACGAATTTCCGGCAAAGATCAAAAGCTCTTGGCATGGGGCTACTTATTCGCATTTCTGGCCCCTTCAATGCCCTTTTATTGCCTACAGTCGTAATAGGGGTTTGTTGCCCGCCAGCTCAGCATAGGGTGTCCCCCAATTAATCCCATTTGGTCGGCCGATGCGGGTTAAGGGGGGTTAAAGGGGAAGAAGAAGGCATTCCATGCGGTCAATACCACCCGAACACCCACCCGATCATACCACTAGACAAATAACGGGGAGTAAAGAAAGTTCTGAATCGGTAGGGCGGGTGATTCATTTGATGTATTGGAAGGCCGTTCGGACTCACAATAACTTTGGTAGTGATTAATTCAGGGAATTCATAGCATACTATAAAAACTGTTTACGGTTGGACAGTTAGCGCAGCGAGACTCTTCACCGTTGTAAAAGTCACAGATTTTGGACGCTTTGCTACGTTTTAGCTAAAAAACCGACATTTCCAGGGTAAGATCGATTTTTTTGGTGGTGATAAAATAAAATGGCAATGTCCAATTTCCGGTTTTCAAGAGGTTCGGCCAAACTGCCTGCTAGTTGACCGGAAATCATCAAAATCTCGGCTTCCAGCTACGAAATAAAAATTCCCTGCTCAATTTTCATTAAACTGCCCGCCAGTCTACCTAAATCCACCAAAATCTAAGTTTTCACCCCCAAAAGTAAGATTTAAATGCCCAATTTCCAAATTTTCAAGTGATTTGGCTAAACTGTCCGCCAGGAAACCCACTTTCAAAACAGTTCACCCCCAGCTGTCCAGCTAAAGCCGCGCTCCCCTTCCAATATCTCTCACTTCAGCGTGTTGGCTGGTTGACAGGGCGGCAAACAAGTGGCCCTCGAAAGTCCCTTCCTTCCCCCACATACAGTCGCCCCAATCCATCCCATTCCGTTCCGTTCACACCCCTTTACCCCTCTAACACACAAATCCCCCCATCTACCGCCCTTCTGGCGCCCAATTCCCCCTCGTAATGTACCGGAAATCCGGCGGAGAACAAACAAATCCAAGGTGTAAAGACTTACCACGACAAATTCGATGTCGTCCTTATCCAGACCCCGGAATTCGTCGAGACGCGTCTTTTTCAAGCTCTGAAAGAAGTTGTTTCATTGGATTTAAGCGACCAGTAATCGCAAAATTCGGTTACGACATGAAAATCGGCTCACTACGCGACAGGCCTTTGTGAAGCGCGGTGTAAAGCCCTGTTTTGAAACTCCTTGTCGTCACTTCCTAATTGCCGTTTTAGCTGTTTTTTTTGTTAATTTGGCTGATTAAAAGGTATCAATCCAGGAATTTTATTACGACATGAATAGCCGGTCCCTGTACGCGGCGGGCCTTTGTACGCAAAAAGCACGGGAAGCGCTGGGGTTTGAAATTCCCTGTCGTAACCAAAAAATCGGGTTGCGAACGGTTTTTTGGTCAATTTTGACGCTTAAAAAATTATAGATATGTAAAATTCAGTGAGGATTTCAAAACTGAGCTCAAAATTTGAAAGTTATAACGTTTTCACGGCGAATCGGGCGAATAAACGAGACACAATTACGCAACATCTCCAAAATAAGTTTCTCAGCCATTTTTAACTTTATTAAAATGTAAAATTTAGCGAAGATTTCAAAAATCAGCCCAGAATTTGGAAATTATAACAATTTCGCGATGAAATTGGCAAAATAAAGGATTTTTAGCAAATTTGGGGATCAAATTTGATCAATTTTAAGAAAATCTCAGACCTGAATATCCTTATACTGTGCCCAGGCATAATCCTCCATGATCTGCTCGACATCAACATGATTGAACGCCATTTGAGAGCCGGTAGCACGCGAGGGAGATTCCTTTTGCAATGCGAGAGGCGTCCTGAAATCGCGGTTTTATATGGTGGATTGAGGATACGGTGTGAAAGTCCCTGTAATTGTCATTTTTGGATATTTTGGCTGTCAGCTCATCCAATCGTGAGAATATTCCCACAAAGATGCGCAATTACAGGGCAGATTACTGTATTTTTGAATGGAGGGTAGGGCGATTCCCACGAGGCCCCCATGATTGTTCCGTTTTACTAATGACGGGTGACTTCGTGGGAATATTCCCACGGAGATGCGCAGAGTGGTTGGGAAATCGACTTGAAAATACGGGCTGGATGTCAGTTTACAGGAACAACAAGATTTTGAAAGATAAAACTTTCAGAAAAACTAGGGAAATTCAAATTTATGGAAATTCTAGTTAGGTTTGCCAATATTTGGGATATCCAGTTCGTTAAAATTCATTTTTTCTGACATAAATAGATCAACTGTTTCTACACTCTTTTTACTATCCCAAAATGTAAAAACCCTTACGCCAATGACGAAAAATACAAAAATATAGATTTTCGACCAAAACACCCGATTTTCGAACAAAAATTCAAAAATTTAAAAACCTTTTTGAGTTTTCTGATCCGTTTTTCCCATTAAAATATGACTAAATTTTAGCCAAAAAACTTTATGAAATAACTGGTTATTCAATGTCAAGTCATCTCGGTATTATAAGGGAAAAAAATCGCTTTGGCCAAATTTCTGAAAAGAGCGTGCGACTTTTTGATCGTTTCGACGTCGGATATTATAAAATCGCTTCCTGAAAACATTTTTTAACGAAAAATCCCCCATCTGACAACAACCGAGCGGTTCTAACAACTTTATGAAACCCCCTTCGACACTCTCATAAATATCTGAGAATGAGGGGAGAGGAGGGTGAGAGGCCACAGCCTATGATGGGAAATGACCGATCGGCTGCCAGATGGGAATGCTGCTAGAGGCCAGCCGGGCCCTTTCGCCTCCACTCCTATTTACGACTATTCCACCCCGTCGGCTGGCAGTGGTGTCAAAAGTTGCCGCGAAACAGATGGGCCTATCCACGGTATGGATTTTGTGGATTGAGGGCCAGATTTGGACGTTGGGAATTGATAACGTGAAGATTTTTTCTAATTTTCGTAGTTTAGCGTCTCACTAGGCATTGGTGCTGGACCGCTAGCGGGGGGGGGGGGGCGGATTTTAGCCCGAAAAACTATTTTTTTTGTATTTTTACGCTTACCCGTTAAAAAGCATTTGCTTATTTCTGTAGTCTTTTGATAGTTTTTGATTGTTAGAAAGTTATAAAAAGAATTTCATTTCAAGGATTCGAAAATTTGTACTGCTACGTACCATGGCCATTTTACATACATTTTTGACCACAAAATTAATGATTTTCGAATGTTTTTATATTTTTAAGAAATTTTTATATCTAAAAACTTGTAAAATGCTATAAGAAGTACCTTGATTTCTTGGTCGTACAGCTCGACCGAAACTTAGCCGTTGGGACACACTAGCAGAGGGTTTTGAGGAATTTCACCAACTTTTAAAAGTAGGTGCAAACTGTTATGAAACAGATCAGAATCGCTTATGGATAGAGTCAGAGTGAATTCCCCCTCAAAAACCCGTCGGCCTGGCTCTTTGAGGGTGGATACCCATTTGCGTCAGTAGGAGGCCCGACGAGAGAGAGAGAGACGAGAGAAAGAAAGAAACAGGTATTAGTCATCCATGGGAAAGGGAATTTCGATGGATGACTAATCGCACTTGTAAAGAGAGTTAGAGTACGCAGAGAAACCCTTTACACGGGCTACGGTAGGTGTTTACGCAATTTTTGACGCGGTGGGAATGGCAACAGTCGGGGGAAATCAATAGAAGATAGGGAGGAGGAAGGGAGGAGGAGAACGAGGAGTGGCAAACACGAAAACAGGTGGAATTCAGAAGGCAGAAATTGGCGGCAGAATTCCGAAGGAGGTTTCGCCGTTGAGAGTATCACTACGTATGTTCAAACAGTCCCTTGAGTTTAGGAAAAATCAGCTTTTTTTGGCCTGTAAAATCGATAATTCGCTAGATTTTCTACAAATTCTTTTCGATTTAAGCTAACTGACTATAAACGAAACTGTTTTCAGTTTTATCCGGATTTGGAAGTGAAATTTCGAGGATTGATTTTTGAAGAAATCGATTTTTCGAAGATCCTGGATAGTCATCACAATTTTTTTACATTTAATGCTTCTCTAGCGGCCAGTTTAAATTAATATATTAAAATCAGGCTCTCAGTACGCTGCTTACGACCAAATAATCGTTAAAACAACTCATGTAAATAGGCTTCCCCGGTGGAGATTGGCGAGCCGTAAGTGAATTTTTTGAGATTCTGGTCAGTAAGCCCGTTTTTTAAATTGAATCCTATTCGCTAGCATCCATTTTAAAATGCCGGTTAAAAACTGGCTCTCAAAATCGATAACACACTCATAAATTGCAAATAGGCTTACCCGGTGGGGATTGGCGATGCGGGAAGGGGATATTCCCTCTCGCGGGGTTCCTTGAACGCGTTCAGTGTGTGTCCCTTTAAGAAATTCATCTCGAATCGATTGAAATAGAAGAATTGATCGTCAGAAAATAGAATAGAATTGGGTTGGGATGGGTGGAAGATGGCGATATGAAAGAGAAGGAGGGGAGGAAAAGGGGCGGAGTCTCGCCGAGGGTTGGAGGGAGGACAACAACTAGCAGAACGAGAGGAGGGAAGGGGATGATCCGAGGAATAGATAGAGCTCGACACAGAAAAGAGGATTCATCCACAAAACAGACGCCCTCAAAGGCATTTACCGCTTTTCAGGAGGAAAAAAAGGGCGAGGGCAGATGGAGAAAGAGACTTGCGGTAAACTGCTGATTTTTCAGGGTAGATAAGGGGTGGGGGAGGCTCAGAAAAAGTCGGCGGGTGGCCCCCCATTGCCTTGAAATCCGTGTAAAAAATGGGAATGGCCTAGTTGCAAGTCAGTTTAAGGGAATATAACGTGGAAATAATTTTTTCGAGAAGCGGATATTGATCCCGGTACCTATAAAGTCAAGATTTTGCGGCAGTTCCAGGTTATTGATCGCTTAAAAGCGTTTATGAAAATTACACGGCACAAAAATTTAAACGAATTTTTTGCACACTAATATTGCGGAAAAAACGCTTAGAAGCACAAGGCGTCGTAAAATCTAGGATCTATAAATTCTGATAGACGCAAAATCTCACTCGGACTTTTTGAAAGTCCTAAATGGTCACTGCTAGTTGCCTTCGAAACTAGCTAGGCAGTAAAATGAAAAAAAGTACGCCCTAAAATTCCGTAGCGAACTCTGTTAGCTTTTTCTTTCCCTCTTAAGGATCACTGCCAGTCAGCGCAATAAAAAAAAAAAATGCAAAATGACCGTGGCTAGATGGAACTTTTTGGCGTGGCGTGAAGTCAAATTCCTATTTTTTGTGCGATAACGAAAACTATCCGCCAAAGAGCGCATATCAAAACTGCCAGCGGCAATCCATAGCCCCCATTGCAAAATACACCTCATGATAAGAAAAGGGCCGATTCGGGGCACCCAATTTCGCCCAAATTACTGCCAGGGACCCGCGGCCGCGGCGCACTGCGCAGGAAAGAGGTATTAGCCGGAGAGCCGTTTCGGGGGGCTGAATGCAAAGTAATCAACGATTCTGGAAGCCAGTCGGGGGAAATTTTAGCTTTTAAAGGGACTTAGAAGGTCGCGCGCGTCGCGTGTCGCGGTCCCAGCGAAATTGTTAGTTATGCCTTCCCGGCTCCTTTAAAGGGCGGCAGAAGGTGAAGGTCCTAAGCCTAAGCCGCGCCGCAACACGCAACGCACGCATCGATTGGCCCCTTTAAAACGCCGTAATCGATTACGACATGCAAAACCAGTTCTATGCGTTGCGTGTCGCGGCACGGAGCGAGAAAAACCCATAAAATCGCTGGAAAAATCTTCGGAAAAATCAATATAAAATGGATTTTGTTGTTTGGCTGTGAAAGACGAATAAACAAATAGGAGACGAAGGAGGAGAAGGAGGTGGAAATGTGCACTCTTTAGCCTCTGAGGGACTGGAGGGAAGAATAAGCCACGCCCCCCTTCTATACCACTTGGACGAGGGGGAGGCAGGGGATTCGATGGATTACAATTCGGCCCGGGAGGGGCCAGAATCGATCAAACACGGATATTTAGGTCTTATGGCAGCCAGAAAATCGATTACGCTATGAAGTTGGATCGATAAAAGCTGAATTTAGCTTTCACTGGATTGAGGAAGGAATTTTGTAAATTTCTCCGGTCTTTGTTAGTCAAAAAATCGATTACGCTATTTAACTCAAGGAATCGCTTTTATTTGATTTTCCGCTGCTTTTCCTAGTTTTTTGCTAGTCAGAAAATAGATTACGTGAGTTAACTTCTACCAATATGAGCGTATTTTAGGTTTAGGGGGCCCAAAAACATTATTTTCAAGATTTTCTTGGTTTTTGCCAGTCAGAAAAACGAATACGTTACCCAATGCAACTAATCAACTATTTCCATTTAAAGCTGATTTCAAAAAATTTTTGAAAAATCGATTACAACAGCCAAATGCGCGGAATAAAAGCTTATTTTATTTTTTTAAGGACAAGACGGGTGATTTCTAAAGTTCAGCACCTTTTTGCGAGTCAGAAAAAAAATTATCTCTTCTAGAAGAGTCACCGGGGTTGGGCCCGATTAATATGCGGCTCTTTCTTTCCCCTTCCTTCCCTCACTGACTCATCTCACCCCCAACAAAGATCTGTGCGTTGATAGGGATGGCCTGGAATGCATTAGAGGAAAAGGGGGGACGCTGCTTTTTCCACAAAATGGCAGCTAGCTCGGCTAAAAAAGGGGGGAATTGCTGCGAATCGTCCAACTGGCATGCATTAAAGAGATTCATGACAATTTTTTTTTAATTGTTACGCCAATCTAAAATTGCCTTTTTACCGCCAAAATGACCTGCGGCTCGCCTCAAAAAGTCGTCGCAATCTACGAATCGTTGAAAAACCATTGAAACGCAACACGACTTGACTTGACACGGCTTTTGATGGTGTAATTACGGTGTGGTTGAGGCGTCCAGGCCGGTTGATCCATCCAGGTTGACATGGTCTTGGATTTTCCAGGCCCCATAGTATTCCAAAACGCCGATCTAATCCGGAAATCCCTAGGTGATCCCTAGGTGGAAATCCCTAGGCAAATCACCATGACTTGCCGGTCCCTTTAAAACCCCCCAAAAGTCAATTATTTTAAAGGGGCTTATTTTTCCCTGGCTATTCCATTTGATGCCTTTCAGAATCCACAATCCCGGAATGAATCTGGCTCGAAAGTGCTGGATGCTGGAGTATCGGCGAGCTGAATAGTCGAAAAACTGACCTTGCGCCCCAGTTGACAATGGGCTGCAATTTGTGACTGGGGAAAGAGAGAGAGAGAGAGAGAGAGAGAGAGAGAGAGAGTGAGAGGGTGAGAGAGACAGAAAGACAGACAGACCAACAAAGTGCCGCGAATTATTTCAATAGCCCCCCATTGACTAGTATTGTATGGACAAAGTGGTAGCACAAATAGACCATTCGGGTCCATCCATAGGGTACCGGCATTCGGGGTAGGTCAATTGGGATTTAGCGATGAAGTAAAGGGGCCGGGAAATCATATCTAAAGATTTGTGGGTAAATTAAGAAAAAACGCGCATTTATTCGTGAATATCATGATTTTGTATGGCCTGTATGGCAAATGCAGCCAGCCGAATTGTCATTCTTCGATCTCTCTTTGCCACTTCCACATCTTCCAGTTCTTTTGGCAATATCCTCTTGATTGCACCGAAGAAATGGTCCCTAAATTGTTAAAAATTTGCCAAAATAATAAAAGTCCCGTTATTTTTTAACTCCAAAATTTAGGATCTTTTGCATTATCGGGGGAAGCAGAAAAATTCTTTTCCTATACCTCCGGAAACGACTAGTGCTTGTAGCGTGTATTTTAATAGCGTTTTAGTAACATTTAACTATAATGGAAAAACTATTTAGCAAACTTTGAAAACTTTTTAAAAATTCGAAATTTTGTCGAAAAGCGGCATCTTTCGTTTCGGCAAACTTGTTTTTTATGTTTTTTTTGCCACAATTTTTAAAGTTTTGACGCTAAAGAAGAGGAAAAACAGTTTATAAAAACTACCGCCATTTGTTTTATAAAAATTGGGTCTTTGGAAACGACCATGAAAAATACCGACCAAAAGCCAATTGACTCCAATGAAAACTGACCTAAAATGCGGTATCCAGATGAATATCGGCGAGAGAATGGCCAATGGTCTGAGTTCCATCAAATAAGCAGCATATGCATGGACACTCTCATCCCAGAGACCAAATTCTGAGCCGGAATCTGCCTTCGCACGGGCAATGATCGAGACGAAGGACAGCACTGAAAGGTAGAATGATTACGTTACCTTTTACGGTATGTAATCCCCCTAGCAGTCTATAATATGTCTTCTAGGACCCGTTAAGCCCCAATTTGCAGTGCACTCACAAAACTGTAAACCATTGAGTGTGTATGGTGTAGTGGCGTAGACAGAGAATAGAGCCATTTCCATTGGCGTATGACGATTCTGACGGTGGCCCTCTATATTCGCGCGAAGCTTCCGGACGAGGCTCATCTGAATGACGGGGTTGGATTTGTTGGCTGCCAGATCGAGGATTAACAGCCAGAATACCCAAAATAGTAAATTGGGTAAATTTTGATGATCCGAGAACTGTTTTCTGGATAACAGATCCTCCATTGCCAGCCAGAAGACTGTCAAAAAGCTAAAAACAAATTTAGATTTCTTTACCGGCCGGTTGGGATCCAGAAGACCGTTTTTTGCCTGCCAGATTGTGGAGCGGTGCAATTTTAGCTCAAAGTAATCTTTTTTTGAGTTTTTCAGTGTTTCGGCACCCAAATAAGGTTTTCTGCCTGCCAGACTCATTTTCCGTAATTTCAAAAACTTCTAAAAACCCACGAGTATCATAGCCGAGATCGTCCCCGTTGTGAAGCCGACAATGAATAGATTGGTGATGATCGAATCGATAAAACATGTACACGCGGCCAGAAAACCCGCGAAAAGGATCGAGATCGCGAATGGGGCCCTGGAAAAACAAAAATAGATCGTAAGACCCGAAAAAATGTAAATGTTATTTTGTTTTTCAGGTGTGACAATTTAAGCTGTCTGCCAGTGGTTTGTTTTTTGGCTTCCGAGTTCCTTTAAAACGCCGTAATGAAGAAAGTTGATGCTGAAATGTTCCGAGAATAGGCGACAGGTGCAATTTTACGTCTGTCGGTGATCTCCACCAATTTGCATCAAATTCGGACCGGCATGTCAGAGGGCAAAAATAACGAAAATAAATGGAAAAATCATACTTTAAATCCGGAAGAGCTTTGGCCTTATCGGGGGAGAGAACTGTATTTTTCCAGCAAATCCAGAAATGCCTAATAGTCGAATATAAAGTTTTTAATAGTGTTTTTCAAAATTTAGCTAGATTTCGCCCGGAAAACCATTTGGAAACTCCGAAAAATGACGAAAATTTGAAGCTACGTCGAAAGTCGATATTTTGTCGAAAAAGCTATATTTTTGTATTTTTAATAAAATTATGTCAAGTTTTGCGTGAGGAATAGTGAAAAACAGGGTTCAAACACTTACTATCCCCTATTAGAAAAATCTCTCACCCCCCCCCCCTTTAATGCAAAAGCTCTCCGGGATGGAGATTTTTTTCCGAAACCTGTCTAAACCGGCAAAACGGCACTTACCAATCATATTTGTACTTGGATAGAGAATGATGGAGGAAATACACTTCTGTACAAATGACAAATGTGATATGGATGAGATTATGCAGGAAATAGTCGATTTGGATAAAGATTGGTTGCAGTCTGAAACTGGAATTTTTTTAGCAGAAGATATCGATATTTTTACATTTTTAGCGCTTCTTTAATCAGCTCAAATCAGAAAAAATAATTAAAAAATCAAATAAAAAAGCCCATTTCCATTTTTTCGAAATGTCAAAATCTATTCCAATCATTTTGGCAATTAAATAGGAAATTTGGAAAAATTGGAAGTTAAAAACGAGATTGTAGCTATTTATCACATTAGAAATGCTATAATTTCTTTTAAAAAACAAGAAAATTGATTTTCCGGTTTCCTGAATTTTCGGATCGTTAATCTTTAAAATGATGACTTACGAGTGTTCATAATGCGGAATAAACATGCATCCATTCTTGATAATCTTCATGATATCATAGATAAGAATTGGAAGAGAGACAGCAACGACAAAGAATAGAATTGTATCCCACACAACACGGGTACAAATATAGACTGTCGGGATGAGGAGCAGGCATTCTAACACCAGGAAGAGGAGACGGACTGAAATCGACAAAATTACGGGTTTAAAGGGACTGACAAGGCAAAAACTCGCCATGGATTTTCCATGGATTTTACCTCGACGCGAGAGTCGCTGACGAGCGCTGAGCAACGCGCTTGCGTTGCGGCTGCGGCGCGGCCAAACCCATAGTCCGTCTACGGACATCAAAATCCATAAACATCCCCTGCCCCATACCTTTAGCGCGCCTTAAATGTTCGGCTAGCCTTTTTTTGAGCCAGCAATAACTTATTCAAACAGCAAAATAGCTGTTTTATTTATTGTAATATCTTGCTTCTCTGGGTTAAGCGGTGCTACTCAAAAAGACAATTTGTAAAATTTACTGCGGATTAGGTGCTCGCGACCCCTTCAAATACATCATTCCATATTCTGGCAACCAGACTGCCGGCTACAATGATAATGGCTTTGATTTTCGCAAAAAATTAATTAGTGGAGCCTAGGCGTCCAAACTTTCTAGCGCATTTTTCGGCCATTTCTAGTTGACATGCTTCTTTAAAACACCAGAGACGGCCTTCTAGCGTACAGACTACAAATTGCAAGCTACGGGTCACAAACTACAGGCCTCAACTAACTACTTTTTCATACTTACAATTTCCATAAATGAGATATTCATAGTCTTCAGTCAGTGCCATCCTTCGTTAATACAATTATAGACATTATTCTCCCATTGAGAAAATACTGAAAATGTAGGAACCAGAATTTAGAGTGAAACGGATATGTCAACGTTGGTGTGGATCAATTCGACCGACAGGTGTTTCCTCCATCCGCCCCCATCAAAAAACAGGCCAATACCACCTTGGACACACTTTTGCAGCAACTCCTGGTAATTGGATGGCTACGCATTTTGATATCATCTGGGTTGGATCCTGTTTTTCTATTTTGTCTGTTTCGGTTTATTTGTATGTCTGTCCGTCTCTCTCTCTCTCTCTCTCTCTCTCTCTCTCTCTCTTCTCTGTCGGTATCGACTCGTCAAGTGCCATCTTTCAAAACCCTGCTACTGGACTGTTAGGGGCAACTATCATAATTTTTTCCTAAGTCAGATTTTGTCGAAAATTCTCGTTATTTTTCACGTTTCTTTATACACAGTTGGGCGTGGGGGTCGATCTAGCCGCTTCCCAGTTCCTTTAAAAGTTCTTTTTGCCAGGCAATAATCAAGTTGTCGTTCCGATCACGTTTCAACTCACAATATGAAAGAATTTATGCGGGAAATATGTAGAAGTCAACGTTGTATAGAGTGATATCAGCCATTAATAGACAAAAAAAATGGAAAAATGAGACTAGAGAGATCAATTGGGGGTAATAAGTTGTTCGTTGAGATCGGGATGGAGATGGGGTAAGAGACCGGTAATGGACCATGGAATGGAGATTGGGAAATGTGTAAAATCGTTCAAAAGCATGAAAAACAAAATTAAAAATATTATCGTAAAAATTCACGATATAAGCGGTTTGGCGGGTTAACTGGCTGCCAGGAAAGATTTAAAAAAACTTGAAAAATCAAAGCCTGGCCGCCAGTTTGGCAATTGGTGCATTCGATTACGCGATGAAATGTTAAAAAGCAAAAATACTGATGAAAAGGGGTGAAGCGAGCTGAACACTAGTGAGAACCCGAGAGAGAGAAAGGGAATAAGAGAGACAGAGAGAGAGCGAGGGAGGGAGAGAGGGGTGAAAGAGCGAGAGATTGTGAGAGAGAGAGAGAGATTGTGAGAGAGAGAGCGAGAGATTGTGAGAGAGAGCGAGAGAGAGCGAGAGGGAGAGAGAGAGAGAGAGAGAGAGAGAGAGAGAGAGAGAGAGGAGAGAGAGAGAGAGAGCAAGAGAGCTAGGGAGCGAGCGATGGATAGAGAGACGGCGAGCGAGTCAGAGAGGGAGAGAGAGCGATAGAGAGAGAGAGTGCGAAAGACGCACAGAAAGATAGAGGCAATTCTACAAAATAACGAATGCATATACTCGTAGATAATGGGGGATATACGAATCGATTTGTCGTTGGATCAGGGGCATCGTGAGAGAGTGCGGGATTCGAGAGAGAGCAGAGGGAAGGGGACAATTTTCGATCGATATTTGGTCAGCCGATCATGACAATTAATCGACAAATATGAATTAAAAAGCGCAGCTCATCTTTCCTCCACCTGGCGCTGGCGCGACTACGGTGGAAGTGGGTTCCGTCATCTGAAAAGCATCGTATCCGTGGGCATTGTAACGTCGTTTTTTTGTTAATATTTGTATTATTTTTTTTGTTAGAAGATACGTGCTTGCTAATGCACCACGATACAAAAAGTGAAAAAATAATTATTATTAGTCCAATCATTTTGTGCTAAACTTAATTCTATGTAAAAATAATTAAAATTAAATTCTGCATTGTAAAAATAATTTAAAGACGAAAATCGATAAACTGGATGCCAGAAAGTACTAGAATTTAGGAAAATCTATATTATCGCTGTTAATTTAAAGGTTAAGAATTAAAAAAATAGATTTTGCCCCCCAGAAAACTTTTCAAACGATTTCCATTGTCAAACCGATTTTCAGGAAATAATAATAATTGCAAAAATCTATATTCTGACAGGCAATTTGAATTCTAAGCCCTAATAATCAACAATTGCAGGACAGTTTACTTTGTTAAATTTTTAAATCGGTATTTTGGACACCAGGAGGATTTTAAAACTATGCTAAAAGCATAAAGTCTGAAACCAAACTACGCTTTTTACGGGGAAACTACAAACTACAAAGCTTCTACCATTATTTGAAAAATGCCGGAAAACTAAATACTACAAAGCGTCTAATATTATTTTTAGGAGCCGAGAAACTACAAACTATACTACGAAGCAGCTATCGATCGCTAGGGAAAGTAAAAAATTAGCACAGAAAATTTAGAAAAATTTGAAAAACCCTAATTTGTGAAAATTATAAAATTTAATTTTTTGTCTTGTTTTTTTTTGCAATTCAAAAACAGAAAGAAATGCGAACCGAGAAACGAGGACAGTGTGAGATATCAGCCGGGGGGTAGAGAAGGACAAGGACGGACGGAGACACGTGTTGTAGTTTGTAGTCGCCCCCATCAGAAGACAGATTCCTCATTGACGGTATATTCGGTTGTCAGTTCGGCCATCTATATAGATACAGAGAAAAACGGGGGAGACATCAACAAAACAGCCATGCCAACAGTGGAAATATCGATTTTCCAAGCGATTTTCGGAGCTTTTCCAATATCGGGGGGATGGTATGTGAATTTTTCATTAGCAGCTAATAGTTCTGATACAAACAGGGAAGATTTTTCTACCATATCAAAACCTAAAAAGTACAAATTTCTGGAAAAAAATTCAAAAATATAAAGTTTTCAACGCAAAAATGCCAGTTTTTGACAAAATTAGACATTTTGTATATTTCATAAATTGTTTTTGACATGTTGTTAACACGAAAATACGCTAACTTACGAAACGCCGCGAAATAGAAAAAATTCAACCCTCCCCCGATATTGCACAAGCTTCATTTATCGATCGCTCGCTAGAAAGGCTGCGTCTGGCAGCCAATCTGACTTCCAGCGCCCTTTAAAACCACATTTGGGCCCGGGAATTCTTTTTAAAACGCTTACTGGCAGGCAGTAAGTAATTTCAAGGAGATTTGGTTGGTTAGATGTCTAACAATCGGGATGCTAATTCCGTGGAAATGACCTTTCGATTGATACTGGACTCGCCGAGCATCATCACCTGGGAAGGGAATGGGATTGGAAATTCGGGGAATAGCTAATCTGGCAGGTGGCCAAGAAATTCGCTAATTGAAATTCTTTTTCTAGCCTATTTAAAGGAGCCGGCAAGGCGTGGCTGTGGGCATTCCAGAATAGATCTTGACACTGGATTTTTCCGGGAGCGGCACGCAACGCGTCTAGCAGTTGTGCACGATACGCTCGCCCTTATATCGCGTAATGGATTGCGGCCATTTTACGCTAGGCAGCGGATGCGTCACATGTTGCGCGTCGCGGATAGCGGGCCTGCGCAGCGGCCTGCACAGAGGCCAAGCGGGAGCGTGCTGGATGTCTTTTTTGCGAGTCACGAAACGCTTTTTGCCAATACTGCAAGGGTCGTAATGGATTACGCGCTTCAATTCCTGCTGCCCTTTGCGTTCCGTGCCGCGGCGCGGGCTGATATAGATCCGCGACACGCAACGCGCGCGGTATCTGACCCCCATAGAAATGCCGTAATCGATTACGCAATGGAATAGACTGAGTGTGTTACGTGTCGCTGCGCTAAATTTATGCCTGCGACACGCAACGCAAGTCAGCTGGGCTGTCTAGAATACCGCGCAATCGATCACGCAAACTAATGGCAGTTTGGCGCGTTGCGTGCCACGGCTCCGGGAAAAAGCTTACAATTAGAAAAGCCATAGCCATGCCTTCCCGGTCCCTTTAAGATCCAGAAACTACAACAAATGGCGCATACCTGCGTTGTGCAACTGTTTTGCCGTCCGAATTCTCGATGATTTCTGAGAGACATTAACTTCATCTAGGATGGTCATCATCACAAACTACGAAAAATACCTGCGAATTCGACGCGACACTTGAATATTTCTTCGATCGACTGCGCACCTGAAATTTTATAGGTTTTAGGGGAATTTTTATAAATTGTCAGCCAGGTGCTCGAAATTATAGGATATGGTATAGGTGTGCGGTTAAGTTTTAGGGTTTTAATCGGATTTTTGGCTTTTATTTTAAGATCGGGATAAGGCAGAATTATCGATTTTTTTTCGTTTTGGATTTCGGATTCTTTTGCAGCGGGGCGATACGCAAGGCTACGCAATGGCACGCAATGCTAGGCGGAGGCTTCCCAACGCAACGTGACGCGACACGCAACGCAACATAGCGCAGCGAGCTAGGTTACGCCACCTTTTGCCGAGCGAGGCGTGTGCGTGTCGTGTCACGGGTTTCTCTATCTATCTACAGGGTGTCCCATAAAAAAGCACCCCTCCGGCATTTCGCCATATTACATCCGATCGGTCCGAAATTTGGCCCAGAGGTGCATTGGACCCTAAATAACCACAATCCTGAGTTATAGCCCGATCGCTCCAATAGTTTTTGAGATATAACAAAAAATAAACTTTATTATGCGTTTTTCATATGGTTTTCGTCGAAATCGACCCTTCGAATATTAAGTGAAAATGAAGCGGAAAGCCTGCTTTACCCCTAAAGATCTTTCTGATAAAAATTAGTGAAATAACCCTTGATTTCATCAATTTTCGTAACGCAAAGTCATCCCCGATATTAAGCGCAATTAGGGATTCGCAGCCGGAAGTCCACGCAAATCGATGCAAAGTGCAAAAAGATAGCCGAAAAAACTGTTAAGAAGCGCGTAAAAAATAGTATTTTGCGGATAACTCGAAAACTACTGTAGCGATCGGGCTATAAGTCAGGATTGTGGTTATTTAGGGCCTGATACACCTCCAGTCCAATTTTGGGACTGTTGGGATGTAATACGGCGAAATGCCGGAGGGGTGCTTTTTTATGGGACACCCTGTATATCTATTCAATCCAACGCGTCGATGGATTTCCGTTACGTAATCGATTACCACGCTGTTAAGGAAGCCAAACGTGCGCGTTACGTGTCACAATAAAAACCGTAGCAAAAATCGATAATCCTGCTTGGTAGTCACTTTAACCGAGCTTTGGGTGGGAAGCGATTAGCTGTCTGGCGAGTGGAGATACCGTTTGGTGGATTGGATAGGGTGGTGGGCAAGCCGCGTGAATTTTGTCGGTTGTAACCGCCGACTACCAGTTTAGCGACCGTAAAATTCAGAGTTCCCTGGTTTTTTTGGCCGGAGATTTTGCCAATAAAGATGAATCCACGAAAATGCCGTCGTTGTTTGGTTTTTCGCTTACCATACTACTTACTGGCTGCCAATTAAGCAAAAAAGATTCGGAATTTTGTGAGAAAAAGCAAGGGAAAGCGTCTAAAATTGCGATTTGGTGCTATAGGTGCTAGTTCAGGTCATTCAATACAAATATCACCGACAGCCTGATATCCGTTCGGATGGGAGAGAAGTGGCCTTTTCTACAACATCAAAATCCAATAAAGAAAAAGATAAGAAGGATCCGGTAACGTACTGTAGCGTACTGTACTGTACGCCACGCTCCTCTTTCCACTTACGCAATGTATCCGGAACATCATCAACATTCGCTTCCGGAAATGTTCGGAAGACAGGCAGAAGAGGACAAAGTTTAGCACCTGAAAATGTGGCAATTTCATGGCGTAATGGCTTCGGGCCCGGCAAGTCATTTAGCTACAAACTCTATACTGGCCAGTTAAAAGTTAGGCTAAAAACACAATTCCGCAAAAAAACCTTAACGTAATTACGAATTTTGGCCACGGTAGTGTAGTCTAGCGTACTGTGGCGTACTGTAGCGTATTAGGTGCTATAGGATATTGTAGCGAAAGATAGGATACTATAGCGTACTCTAGCATACTGTGTGGTACTGTGGCACACTCTAACGTATAGTAGCGCGAAATTGGCTAATGTAGCGTACTCTAGCGTACTGTCACGTACTTTAACCTAATGAACCGTACTGTAGCGTACACTAGCGTACAGTAACGTAGGCGTGCGTACCGCAGCGTACCGTAACGTAATAGAAAGTACGTACCTTTCCCCACAACAGCACCGAATTGATGATATTGGACAACAGAAATCTCAGGTCTTTTTGTGGCCTCATCCAGTTGAGATACCAGAATTGGGGCTGATCTGATCCATCCGGATTGGATGGGAGTAATTCCCACAGGAAAGGAAGGGCTGACGGCGACTGAAAAGTGCATAATTTTGCATAAAAAAAGCTTTTAAAGGACTGGAATATAAAAAATGGCTTACATGAGTAATAATATGGCAAGTTATAATAGCCACTACAGTAGCGGTGACCTTCCTCTCTTGTCGTTGGCGTATTCCGATCTCCGAATAGTGCCTAAAGACGTTTTAAAGGGACAGTCCCAGGTCGAATTACCTCACAAAATCCTCGCCAGCCTTCGGGGCCGCCGAAATATACGTTCGATTCACGAGGATGTCGCTGGAAATTGAGTTTTTGATGGGAAAATTTGCATCTTGCCAGACTGGCTGTCAGATAACGCATTAATGGAATCAGAATTAAAAACATCTTTATAAAAATTTTTAAAATTAAAAAAGTGAAAAGTTTGAAATGAATTTTTGAAACTTTATTTTGTCAAACTTTGTAGCCTGAAAATTCACGAATTAAAAATCATCAAAAACCGCGAGAATTTCTGAAACCTTCCGCTTCAGAGCACCAAAAAAATATAAAAAAATATATAAAAACGCGCAGAATCTTTTAAATTAAAATTTTCCAAAATGAAATTTTGAATCAGTTTTTAAATTTTAAATTACCCCTGGCCCTGAATTATATCAATATATAAACCCACCGATTCCTCAAAACGTGAATGATCGATAGATTAAATATAGGAATGAGTACGAGAGGTACAACGACGACGAAACATATTTGAATAGCCTTCGCCCAGCCAATGACATCTCGATTGGTGATATTATAGAATGGCCCCGAATCAAATATTCGATGTTCTGGAGTGATCTTCAATCGAGCATATTCAAACACACGGAAACACTGCGCGGCCATCTGAAAAAAACACGTGAAAATGGCCATTAATGCGCAGTTAGAGCAAGTGTGAAGCATTGTGTAAAGCAAAAAAAAGCTGTCGGCCACTTTATTAGATTATTTTTTATTATTAGCATTAATAGGGCGTACTGTAACTCGGTCATGTGAGTAAAGGTGCGAGTGAAAAAGAGGAGACGCGTCTTATTTCCGGTTCCATTTTTTTGCATCTTTGAAATCATTTAAATCGAGAAATTCTGACCTTAAATCCGATTACGACATGAAAATCGCGAAATAAAGCTCGGTTTGGTGATTTTTTTAATGAAAAGCTTGATTGGTAGTCAGAATGACAGACTACAAACTTTTCGAAGCTTCGATGGTGAAATATCGGTCCGCGAAAAATCGATTACGACATAAAATTAATTTTCTGATTTTTCGAAATGTTTGAATTTTGTGTTGATTTTGCGAGAATCTATTCTACGGCAGCCAATTAAGCGTATTAAAGTTTATTTTTTAGTCAAATCCGTCATATCAGTACGAATTTCGGAAAATCGATTACGACCTGAAAAAACCATTATTCGATTTTTTTGAAATTTTTTTGATTTTCGAAATGTTTTCTTTTTGGCGCGAATCGCCCCTGTAGTAGCCAGTTAACAGTAGTAACATGTACTTTCTAGACAAAAACCCCGAAATAAGCCAGTTATGACTTCAAAACCGGAAGCAAGACGCGTCTCCCCCAGAAAAGGGTGATAGATTAGAGGTGGAAAAGGTGGTGAGGTGCTGGATGCTATTTTAGAGTAGTTAGTAGTCTCTCTCCCTCTCTCTTATTTTATATTCTGAATGCGGACCATTGCAGATTTAGGGGGCGGGCTTCCATTCCTGATCCGTTCATCCAACATCCTCAACACATCAGAATCGGCAGGCAGGAAGTGAAGGGAATACCACAACTATACGAAAGACTACTCTTTACGACACAGGAAGAAAGGATTCATAGAAATAGATAAGTTGTCTGTCATACAGTATATTAAAATAACTATTTCCCCTTAAACTTGGAGAACTTAATCTTAAAGAGAGCGTGACACCAAAATTGTCGCTTCCGGCTTGGAGCCGGTAATTCGAAAAAATCACTTGTCTAGACCGATTTTTGACGCGGAATTCGAATATCGGGTTAATTTTTATCAGTTATCAATAGTTTTTGCAGTTAAAACAGCTATTTTCTTTATTTCACGTGCTCTATCGAGGACAGAAAAATCGGAAAAATCGGGGAAAATCGCATTTTTCTGTATGAAAACTCAACAATATAAAAAGGCTCTTTTAAAATTTATCCTTATAAATTTAAAATATAGATTGACTATTTCAATTTTGCAAAAAGAATTTTTATAAAAAAGAAGAATTTTAAAACCGCGATTTTTAACCTAAAAGTTCAAAAAAATCTGAAAAATAACATTTTTTTAATAAAACGTAAAAATCTCGAAAACTACAGTTTTGAAAAAAACTAATTAGAAATTTGGAATCAGCGTAAAATACTGGTCCGATAAACCCTTAAAAAGCTTGCTGTCACCCTCCCTTTAAAACCCATTCTACTCCCCTCCAGACCTCTCAATCCCTTTAAAAGCCCCGAAATTCCAAATGACCTCTGCTCGTTTGCCCCCACTACCATCCAGAAAAGAGGAAAAAGAAGAAAAAAATGTGCTCTGAATGAGGAAAACCACGAGAAAATCGAAAAATTGCAAAAGGCCGAAAATGGGGGAAATTGCAAAAATGGGAAATACTGAATTTGCTAAAAAATACCCCAAAATGGTCTGAAAAACGTACGCCAGTGGTTGGACGGTCCCGTTGCGCATAATCATACGTGTGCTCGAAGAAATGGAAGAATGACACCATACAAGCACCTAAACACATTGTTTAAATCGAAAGCCGACGCAAGCATCGCGGCCGCGCAGCGACAACTGGTTACGCCATTTAATTAATGGACCTGCTTTTGGACCGAAAATCGCTGGAAAGCGTTGCATTCGCGTCGCGGCAATCGATTACGCGATGAAAATATGAAAATTGATGCTCGTGCGCGTAATTGCAAAACTGGGTCGCGAACGCGTCGCGGTCCTGTTGCGACGGTCAGCAATTGTTTACGCTATGTAATCCGGAGATTTATTTTTCAATACTCTTATAAACTGTGCTTCCCGCGCGTCACAGTCGCGTCGCGACACAGGTTACGCCAGGTAATTGCGGACAGCGGCTAAGTTTCCTAGAATTTAGCATCCGATCTACGCGTTGCGACTGCGTTGCGTCCTGTCAACCGATTAGGCGGTTCAATTCAGAAAAATAGCTACTTTTCGTTTTGAAAGCAAGCGCCCCAAGCGCTGCGGTCGCGTCACGTTAATCGATTACACCATGAAATCGCAAAAAACATACCCATGAAGATGAGACATATCGTGAGAAATACACGCGAATTATTCCATTGCAGCCGCGTGTGCATTGGCGATCGGATTCCAATGTACCTAAAATGAATTTTTGAGTTTCTGACAGTCAGCTTGATAAAATATTTGAGAATGACAGGATTCTGGATACCGGAAAATATAATATTGTCCAAATCAATTTAGTTTGATCGATTTTTGAGGATTGATTTTTCGAACAATGATTTTTCGCACTTTCTGACAGACAGTTTGCTGGAATTTCGGAGAGTTACGTTATTCTGACTGCCAAGAAATCTTATTTTGCAAAAAATAAGTTATTTTATTCGAGTTAGGCTTGGTTTTAAAAAAAATTGGAAATTTGGAATCTATGAAGTTTTACGATATTCTGACAGTTTCAGGCAGCCAGATTGTTAAAAATGTTAATGTTGTAAAATGTTATTGTTGTTATTGTTAAAACTTGCGCTTTTTACGGTATTCTGCTTATCAGAAAACTCAATTTTTGAAAAAAAATTAATTATTTTGACAAATTTTTCAAAATTAGGTTTTTAGCAAACCTTTACCTTTCCAACGAAACAGCCAACACAAGCCATGATGCTGCTGCAGAAAATATATTTGTTGACGCATGAAAATATACGTGAGTCGCATAATAAAATCTTCTGAAAAATAAAAATTGACAATTAAGGGTACGGTAGTACGGTAGGATACCTAAAATACGGATGGATATACATGGCTGGGAATACGGTCAGGAGATACGGGATATTACAGATAAGCAGTGAAATGTCCATAATTGCCATGGCGGACAGTAAAACGTTTGCCTGCAAAGTTTTTGGTTTTTATAGGGACGTGGAACGCATGGATTCTGTGAATTTTTGGAATTTGGTGGATTTTTGCCGCGGCGACCTGCGACGCTTCTTAAAAAACCGCGAAGCGCCGCGGGTCACCCGCAAAAACGCGTAATGGCTTTTTAAAGGGACTGACAAGGCAAGAACCCTGTGGCTTTGCCGCGCCGCGGCACGCAATGCGGCGTAAAACTCCCCGAAGCGCGGCGCGTCAGCCGTAAAAACGCGTAATCGGTTAGGTGATGAAAATGCGAGCGGTCGGGCGTGCTTTTAAAGGGACGTGGAAGGCATTGATCCTATGGATTTTCCGCACCGGATTTTCCGTGCCGTTTTTGCCGCGCCGCGACACGCAACGCGTTTATAGATTTTGACTCTCCAATAACTTCACAGTCCCTTTAAAATCCCCAAAATCCCTAAAAAATTCGGAGATTACCTCGGAACGCATTCCAGCTGACAGCAGCACCGCCAAATTGATCGAATTGCCGAATATTCCAAAGACAATCTGGACCGGGAGAAGATATCGCTGTAGAAAGATCTCCACCCTCCCACGCACGAAACGGAGGAATTGATCGCAGCCTACGTACTGAAATGGGTACGGTAGGATTATGTTGCGTAATCGATTTACCGGCAGCCAGTTTGTAGTTTGGACCCTTTTTCATAGAATATACTAACTAACTGAACTAACTGAAAGCATTTTTGTTGTCTCTATTCTGTGATTTTCACGGAATTAGATGGGGTAATCGGCCAGTTTGTAGTTTGTAATCAGGGATAGCTTTGTAACGACAGAATTATGTATCGTAAACGATTAGCTGGCTGGCAGTTTGTAATTTGCTGAATTACATCGTAGAAGGTGCGGTAATTAGCTTGCGTAATCGATTAACTGACCGCCAGCATCTAGCTTCTACGTTTTTTTACCGAATATCATCGCGCAATCGATTCACTGGCTGTCAGTTGGCAGTTTCTACTACTTATTACACTTTTCTGGCCCTTTTTTGACCACAAATTCCGATCTGTTCCAATGCCGAATGACGAACACTATTTGTGCCCGTATTTCCCGTCCCCCTATCGGGTCACTTCCTAGTATCTCCCGGTCTCGGACTATAGAAGACGAAGCCAATTTTGAAAAGCCGACGAAGCCAATTTCTAGAGGGACGCCGGTGGATGGACAGATAGACAAATAAATGGCTCGATTGACCGGCTGACAGACTGACAGACAGACGGCATGAATCAGCAGTAAAAAGTGAACTTCCGCTTCTTTGATCCATTTTTCAGCCAATTTTCGGGGCCCAAAAGATCAAAAATTGCGCTTAAAAATGATTGGCAAATCAGCAAAGGTCGTTTGGAAATAATTTTGGGAATGCTCACTTTTTTTACATAGTTTTCATTTTTTTGCATAGTCGAAATTACCCGAAAACCGCATAAAAAAGTGATTTTGAGGTGACGACCCGAAATTTCAAGCCTCCCGCCCTTTTTGCGTCAAAAGAACTGCCGCGTCCTAATCCCCCTTTACCAAAAATTTGGCCTGTTCTGGCCCCTTTAAAAGCACTTACAAATGCAGGGATGGTGAGAACAGTCTGCGTAATATTGTGGACATGGTCGAAATATGTGATGTTGCCTATCTCGGCGAGTACTTCGCCTATCCGACGATTCTGTTCGTCCATTTGGCTGCCCGAGTCGTCTGAAAATTATTTTAATCGATCGAGTGGATGGCAGATTAAAATATAAATTAAAAACAAGTGCAAAACTACAATTCGAAAACCAAAAAGTTAAAAATTTAAAAACATCAAAATTGAGAAATTTTATTAAAAGCGAACGTGGAAAATTCTACCCAAAAATCTTAAAAATCGTTCTTTTGCATGGCAATTCGGCTGTGTGGCTTCCAAATTGGCAAAAAAATAAGCAAATGCAATTAAAAATCAAAAAGAAAAACGGAAAAATCGGAAATCGTGAAAATTCGAAAAAAACCTCTTAAAAACCGGTAAAATACCTAAGAATTAGTCCTAAGAAATTCGAAATCTTCATTTTTCACGGAAATTTACCCAACGGAGCAAAAACGTATCGATGAATTTGTTGTGAGTACAGTAGGGAACGAAATCTGCTGGGGTGTAATGAGGAGCCGAGCGTTGCCCACAGGGGACCCGGTTGCTAATTGTTTATTGCAAGTTGATTTGCTCAAAAGAAAAAGAGCGAGTTTTCAGAATTCGAAGAATAATCTTAGGTGTCTTTGGACTGTACGGTTCAGCTGGATCGATTCAGCTGAATAAGTCAGAAAATTGAAAAACTGGAAAAATGTGAAAACAAATTCGAGTCGGGCTAATAGCACGAAAAATAATGATAAGGTCTGATAAAAAGGCTGGCAGCTGGAAATCCACGCCTTGAAAGGTACCTAACGTCATTTGACGGGGTCGGCAAGGCAAATCTCTAGATTTGCCTTCCCGGGCCTTTTAAAGACATATTTGAAGGCCAATCATGCGTCAACTGGCTAGTTGCTATCCAGTTTATCGATTACCACTTCACAGTGGCTTAAAAAAACCGCCAAAATTTCGTTGAAATCCATCGGGATCCATAGCCAACAAAATCTCTAGCGATGAGTTGCCGGTCCCTTTAAAGGTATCTAAACCGCCTTCACGGCCAGGAAATCTGTAGTTTGTAGTCCAGTTATATTAACTGGCTATCAAAAATGAAGTATAGCTAGGCAGATAGGCCGATAGAGATAATTTTCCTGAAAGGCAACATTCCATCCATCAGATGGGGCGGGGGGCCAGTTAGTGGGTTTTGCCCTCTGAAATGTGAACTCAAGGGAAGAGTCGCTAGAAAAGAGAGATAATGACCGGATGGGCGGTATCAAGTACTCTTCCATCATCTCTGCGTGTCTCTCGCTTATCTCTCTCTCTCTCTCTCTCTCTCTCTGTCGCTGTCACTCTCTGTCCGCTCAATGTCTCTCTATCTCACTCTCTCACACTCTCGATCTCTCAATCGCTCTCTCTCTCTCTCTCTCTCGCTGTCACTCTCTCTGTCTCTCTCGCTTTCTCTCTCTCTCCCTTCTAAAAACCGGAAATGAATATCCAGTCCAAACCAACCCATTAGCCGTTTATGAGAAGTCCTCGGTCCTCGACCGCTCTTTTCTGCCTTTCATTATATAGATATTCTTCTCCCATTACACTCCTCTCTTTTCTGCCATCCAATCGTCATTTTGGATGACGGCCAGTCCACTCGAATTTTGGGACGTCAGTTTTTATGCTGTCATACCCATGCGAAGACCCCCCGAAGGGCAAATTGCCGTGAAAAATGAACCGGGGGGTCTAGACGGGGTGATAAAAACATATGGAAATTGCAGGCTGCATGCCAGCTGACTGGACTGTGGACGATATTTGGCGAATTGCTTTGCTAGTCCCTTTAAAATCCGGCAAAGCCGTTCTGGGGTTGAATTTTAGACTTTAAACTTCGTTTCTCCAGTTTTGCGACCCACCATCAATGCGCTTGTGTCCAATTTAACCAAACTGCCGTACAGACTACAAAATACAGCCCGCAGAAAATTGCAAACTTCGGAAGTTGCCTTGCCAATCCCTTTAAAGTCCCCAAAAGCGTGTGTCTGACGGCAATTTAGCCATTCTACTGTCCGGGCTACAAACTACAATCCTCAAAAACCTGTTTTGAAATTTTCAGGATTGAGTTTCTAAAAAATTACGTCAAAAAGTCGAAAAAGTGTGGCGTTTGCGTGGGTGGGCAAGTACATAAACACATCTACCGTATGCCAGAAAACGTAAAAATTCCGCAGAATCAGATGGTGTGTCGATCTGGTGGTTCTGGCACCCAGACTGCAAAATACAATCCGCAAAAAAACTCTTTTTCGAAATTTTGAGTAGTTAGTTTTTCAAAAATTACGTCAGAAATTTCAAAAAGTGACGCATAGCGCGTAGGCGTTGAGTAAGTAAATAAAAACATCTACCGTATACCAGAAGACCTAGAAATTCCCGAGAATCAGATGGAAAGTGTGTGTATGGCCAGAAGAGACCGAGACAGGGGGGGTAAGAAGTGTTTGTGAGTATTCTGGCTCGTTGGGCCAAAGGGGGGGCCTAAAAGCTAGGGATGGTGTTGATGGGCCCAATTTCCTGAAAAGACGCGTAGAAGAGGGGCTCGCGCTCATTTTGGGGGGGAGGGGAGAACGATTGGGAAGAAGAGGAGCAAGAGAAGAATAAGAAGGGAAGCAGGTTCAATTCGGATAGAGGGGGTGAAGAAGTGTCTTTTAGGGGGGGAAGACGTCTAAAATGAAACCAATGAAATGAATCGGCTAGAAGAGAGAGAGAGAGAGAGAGAGAGAGAGAGAGAGAGAGAGAGGGACAGAGCGAGACAGACAGAGAAACATCATTTAAACAAAGGCTACGATTGGAAATGGCGCCAGCGACATTCATTAATGGAACCAGGAAGTCAGAGAAGACGTAAACCCGAGAATTGTCGAGATCTAGCCGGTGAAAGGGGTTGATTCTTGCGTTTTCTGATTATCTAAAGTACGGGTAAGACATTCTATGGATTCTGTTGGCGACGTATGCCTTTAGAATTTTGCCCGCAACACGCAACGCACACGTCGCGGAAATTTTTAAGTGACCGTAATTGATTACGCCTTGGAAACTCAAGCGGGCGCGTTGCGTATCGTGGCGCGTCATCAGGAGCTCGATCACGCCCTGAAAAGCCGGCGTACGCGTCACGTGTCGCCGCGCGGCTAAATTTAGGCCCGCGACACGCAACGCACGCTCCTTAACCGTTATTAAGATGGCGTAATCTATTACGCAAGTGAATTCCGGATGCGCGCGTTGCGTGTCGCGTTGTTACGACAGAATCCATAAGACGAAAAATTCACATATTTGCCTTCCAAGTCCCTTTAAATGACCTGATCGCGAGTATTTTTTGGCAATTAGCCAAACTGGCTGACAGTACACCTGATAAAGGCAAAAAATGATAATTAACAGGTTCGGCCAGTTGCATCAAAATGAACAATCGAAATGGGTTGCTGAAGAAGAGGCAATCATAATCCGTACAGCGGTGCATTTCGTATTCTAGCGCAATTTGATAGGCTGATAGCCGCCAATTTGACGGGGGACATTTCGGGCGTCAGTGATCAAAACCAAGCCCAAAAACACACAGAACAGCACAGGGGAAAAGAATGCGATTTTTAGAGAACAAAATCGCGGAACAAATCTTATCTTCTAGGAATTAAAAAAGAGGTAAATAGCAGACATTTTTGAGGAATTCGTCAACTTGCAGCATTCGTTGAGGAACCGGAAAGCGGCCTGCCAGAAACGAGGTAGGCTAGCAGAGAGCCTTAAGGAATCAAAAATTATGAAAAAGAAGAGATCTTGAGGAAATGAAGCGAAAAGCATGTCAAAGCTAGCACAGACCTTTCTGGAAATCGAATGGCACCGGACAACTTGCTGAGATACTTGTGGA